CTGAACCATGTAATGATACATCTGCAGAGCTGGCCATCGCTGCTCTGACTTTTACTGGAGTGTCTGTAAATGGTGGGCCAGGCCTGATCTCCGGAGGATGAAAACATAGATGGAGGGAGGCAGCAGAAGACAAATAAATCCTCCTTCAGTTAAATATAATTATCTGCGCTGCTCAAACAGCCCAGGAGTCCGTGAGTGATGGATTGCTGCGGTTCACCTTTTTCATGTAAACCACTCTCCCTGAACCTGCCTCTGCTCTCATCTTCTTCTGTTCCAACATGTTCCCTAAAATTGCTTCGACCGCCCTGGGAGACGGGCAGTGAACTTGTTCCCTTCAATCAAACGTGCGTGCAGAGCTGCGTGAACAGGGGCATCAAAGCTGTGAGGAAGATCTTCCAATCCCTTAGAAGAACCTCAGAACTGTCTTTGCACCATGATATACTCTGGTCTATTTTCTCTCCCTGTGGGAGCAGCCATGTGTCTCAGAGATTCTGAATTTTTCTCTGGCCATTTTGGCTGTGGATATTCATGGTTATGATTCATCGGTTCCAGACTCATCCATCATTTCCAGACGTCAAGTCATCAGTGAAGCCATCACAAAGTTGGGCTGATATTTACTTTTAAAAAGCTATAAAAACAACTGTAGTCCTCAGTAATGGCTCTTGACATTGGAAGCTAACTCCATGCGTAGATACAAGAGTGTTCTAAAAATAAAACAAATATGAGTGACCCATGAGCCACAGGGAGAAAATAAATTAATGAAACACACAAACACGAGGAGACAAATGTGAACTCAACACAAAAGTCAAAGGTAAACAGGTAACCTTCTTACTGAGAGACACTGGCTCTTTTACAACGTACACAACACTAGGATGGCACTGTTATACACATTAAAATGTCAGAAGAACTAAGACTCCCTGACAACTGTGTTCTGAGGTAATGATAACACTGAAATAAGTAACTGTTAAGGCAAACTAAATTCAATTTAATCTTATTAAAATCCACCTCCACTCCAACAAGCTAATAAGGCTAATTATAGCAGCAGGCACAACAGGCACTTTCCTGGGGCCCTGATCTGAAAGGACCCAAACTCAGAGAAGCTAATTCTGTTAACTCTCTAAAAACAACATGTTTTCCAGTCGGCTGTTTATTGCTAGAGCCACGTTTTGGTTCACATAATATTCTTCAGACTGTTTAGCCTTGAAAATAGAAATATTTCATCCAAGATAAATAATACCGAGTTTTTAAAAGAGTTCCCCTGAATTCCACATTCCACAGTCAGGGTCAGCGACTAAAAACTATGACTCAGGGTTAGAATTTAATTGGAACTGAAAATATCTGAAACTGCCCTTCCCACGATGCTTCAAATGTTTTTTTTTTGTTTTTTTTACTTTAAAAATGGCAACAATGACAACATTGAAGGCCACTGAAGCTGCTGTGATTTTTGGAAGGTATGATGTGGAATTGTTTTTTAAATTTATATTTGCCTTAAAGGAATAATACATTTTACTTTAAAACAAAAAACAGGTTTACACCATTTGTGAAATAACATTTTGTCATGAAAACACAATTATTCCAACCAAATTCATTTTGATTCATTCATTTTTTGACACCATTATTGTAAAATAACTTTAAATTGCTATTTGTCCATAATTCTGTTTCTGACACAGACGCTGGTGTTGGAACAAATTATGATTAAGGTTGTTGTTTTACACAGGACTTACATTGTTTTCGTGATCAACAACACTGCCTCTTCTCCAATGTTGTACTTGTACAATAAGAACTAAATTCAAGTGTGATCAAATTACTCGATTTCCAGTTGAAACGCCTCAGTTTGACAGGTTTTTCTGGGGCAACAAAAACTAAGTTGGCTTTTCTGCACTTCTTTCAAAGCCACTCGACGTATGTTAACATAACTGGTTAATATCGCAGCGTTTTGATATATTTCTACAGATATATTTCCTTTCCCGTTTCATCCTCGCCGTATTTATTTATGCTGGGGCTCTAATGAATCTGGTGGAGGAGGACCAACCCTCTGGTGACGCACTCTGCGGAGCTGCGGAGGGAGGCGCTACGGTCCTGCAACCGTCAGCACTGTGCCAGGCTGTGATTGGTGGACTGGGATCCGGAGAATACGACAGGAAAAAAAACAGAGCAGAAAAAACAGAAGACGGTGTAAAACTCCCGACAAACGACCACTAAACTGTGCAGCGAACGTCCGCAGCGGGACAAGGTCTGTGGCTCCGTGTCGAAGGACATCAGCTCCAGTGAAAGGAGAGAAGGAGGGAGGAGAGATGTTCACTTGAGAGAGGAGGATTATAACACAGCGGTGGAGGAGGAGAGGGAAAAAACGCAACCGAAGAGCAGCTGCGAATCTTCGGATTACACTCTCACTTGGGCGACGCTTCGCGAAGCTGGAAGGATAAGGTGTCGGTCAAAAAAGGGAAGAAGAAAAAATATGATGATCTGAAAGAAAAACAATAGGACACTCAAAGGACGCCCGTTGTAGTGGCACTTTGGACGTGGGTGTCCCTTTAAAGCGGAGTGGTAGAAGCAGGATTCCGCGCAGAGGAAGCTGAGCGAACTCCCTTCCGCACACTGCTGGATCGTTTACACCCGCTCGGCTCGGCGAATAGGAACGCTGCGGGTGAGAGGTTTTTAGGTTCGGGGGTTTTTAGTGCTGATGCCAACGGCAGACTGCAGGCTGGTCCACCATGGCCGGATCATGAGGTGTCTCACTTTCTTGCTTCTACTTCCCGAAACACTGAAAAAGTCCAAGAAGCTCCCGGGCAGCAGGCTGCCGTTATGTTATGAGATCCTGACTCTGTCTCTGACGACGAGCAACAAGAAACAGAAGAGGAAGATGGCTGCGGAGCTGTACCCCGCTGCCAACACTGAGAACACCAACCTGGCCAACGGCACCACGGTGGCGGACACGGAGAAGAGCAAGGCGGCGCAGGTGAACCAGGCCGGTGGAAGCGGCGGCGGCGCCGGCGGAGGGTGCTGCAGCGGAGGCGCGGCCGCGACAACTCCGACCACCCAGCAGAACATCAACAACAACAACGTCGATCCACCGAGCTGGCAGTGCAGCCACCCCACACTCAGAGAGAGGTAACACGAACCGCGGCACACCAGCCGAACTCCCCGTCGATGTCTGCTCTACACATTTAAACAGGTCCAGTCGACAGTATCTGCAGAGAAAACCTTGCTGGCTGGTGACAAATATTAAAATGAGTGAAAGTGAATGCAGCTCCTGATCTGTGTGACGACTGTCAACTGCAGCAACTCTATTTAAATAGGGGATTAAAAAGAGCACCCTAACAGATGCAGTCGGTCCACTGCTCTGTCTTAGTCTCACTCTGTTCTTCAGTTCGACGGACATCTGTATATGGACCGAGCAGAGTGAATTCACCACCAGCTCCGTGGGTCCACTGTGGACATTCACGGTGCTGTGGACTTAGTTTTTAATGATGTACAACATCGTCTTATTCTTAGCTTCCCACTCTGGAGTCTGGGATGTGATGGGAACACAGTTATCCAAAGTTAAAATAAGATGGGGGGGTTGATGTGGTGCAGCTCCACTACTGTAGCTTAGTCTTAATCCTCCCCAAACCTATGAAAATAACTGGTGTCTCCAGGCAAACAGAGGAGAGTGTGGGAGGACGGACTGACTGGCTCTTATACAACACTTGGACTCTTGGAGTCCCGTTCCTAAACACTTTCTCTGCTCCTAGGAATGCCTTGATGTTTAACAACGAGCTGATGGCTGATGTCCACTTTATTGTTGGGCCCATGGGGGAGTCACAGAAGGTTCCTGCACACAAGGTAAGGACGGTTTTACCTTCTGGTTCAAAGGCAGAGAAGTGCCTGTGTACATTTAAAAGACCTTCAAATGGGAAGGCTCTGTTTACATTTATATTTCTGTCTCTGAAGTGAAAAGTGATTCCGTCTTCTCCTCTCTCCCCACACAGTACGTTTTGGCCGTGGGAAGCTCCGTCTTCTGTGCCATGTTTTATGGCGATCTGGCAGAGGAGGAGTCTGAGATCCATATCCCAGATGTGGAACCTGCTGCTTTTCTAATTCTGCTGAAGTAAGCCACTCTTTGTCCTGTTCACTTTGACAACCGTAGATGACAAAGAGGAGTGTATGATTAGTCAGCTACATCTGAGGTGAAGGCCACGGAGCAGGGAGCGTCACTGAGAAGTGGTGGTGGTTAATTGCTGGTTCTCTCTGTACTGTTGAACTGAAGTCTTGCTGTACTTTATCTGCCGTCTGACTTTTTTTTTTTTCCTTTTTTAAATGGAAGTACATGCAGACTCTCAGTCTGCTACTTAATGTATATGTTGCTCATTCAGTAGCACTGGCTAAATTAGGAACCATGGATTACTGCCTGGTTTGTCTTTTGAGAGAGGATGGAAGTTAGACTGTCACGGACTGTTTTCTATGAGCCAATAGAAATAGACCATCATTATTTCCAGTTGACTTTTTGGAGTCTTAAAAGAAGTGGAAAGTAGATTAGCACCACTGAGCAGTTTCCAAAGATCCAGGGTTTGATTTTCTATTGGCTCATGCTGCTTGAGTCTTCTTTGCACATATACTGTTGTTAAAATGCTGTTCTCCCTCTGCAGGTACATGTATAGTGATGAGATCGACCTGGAGGCAGACACGGTGCTGGCCACCTTGTACGCTGCCAAAAAGTACATAGTCCCTGCACTGGCCAAGGCCTGCGTCACCTTCCTGGAGACGAGCCTGGAGGCTAAAAACGCCTGCGTGCTGCTCTCTCAGAGCCGCCTGTTTGAGGAGCCCGAGCTGACGCAGCGCTGCTGGGAGGTGATCGACGCTCAGGCCGAGCTGGCTCTGCGGTCCGAGGGCTTTTGTGAGATCGACCTGCAGACGTTGGAAATCATACTGCGGCGAGAGACGCTGAACACCAAGGAGGTGGTGGTGTTCGAGGCCGTCATGAACTGGGCTGCAGCGGAATGCAAAAGACAAGGTCTGGGGCCCACCACCCACAACAAGAGGGACGTCCTTGGGAAGGCGCTGTTCCTGGTGCGGATCCCCTCCATGAGTTTGGAGGAGTTTGCCAACGGAGCGGCACAATCTGATATCCTGACACTGGAGGAGACACACAACATGTTCCTGTGGTATACTGCAGCTAAAAAGCCTGAACTGGACTTTCCGCTAACTGCCAGGAAGGGCTTGTTGCCTCAGAGGTGCCATCGCTTCCAGTCCTCAGCCTATCGAAGCAATCAGTGGCGCTACCGCGGCCGGTGTGACAGCATCCAGTTTGCCGTGGACAAGAGGATTTTTATCGCCGGTCTGGGCCTGTACGGGTCGAGCGGTGGAAAGGCCGAGTACAGCGTCAAAATTGAACTCAAGCGGCAGGGTGTGACCCTGGCCCAAAACCTGACCAAGTTTGTGTCTGACGGTTCGAGCAGTACGTTTTCCGTTTGGTTCGAGCATCCGGTCCAGGTGGAGCAGGATGCGTTCTACACGGTGAGCGCCGTGCTGGACGGGAACGAGCTGAGCTACTTTGGCCAGGAAGGCATGACGGAGGTGCAGTGTGGGAAGGTGACATTTCAGTTCCAGTGTTCCTCTGACAGCACCAATGGGACTGGAGTACAAGGAGGACAGATCCCGGAGCTCGTGTTCTATGCATGAGCTGTGAACTGAACACAAAGCAGCTCTCCCAGCCTTTACAGTAATGTAGCATTAATGACACTTGAGTAACGTCACACTACATGGCCTGGATTATTATTTTGAGAGACTATTTTGGAAGCAAAGCAGCTGTTGTTTTAATCTTATTTAATTTAACCTTATTTTTTTTATTTAAACTCTGAGTTAACTTTATTTGCTCTGATGCCTGTGTGTAATGGCTGCAGCTGCTGTAGAAACAACATTAATGCAGTGATCTGTTGTTATGTAATCCAGCTCCACAACTGGAGCCTTAAATCCTGCAACAACTGCGAGTCCTGATCTGCAATGTTGTTACTGTAGTCAAAATCAGCAACGTTACCACACGGAGCAGACTTGATTTTAGTGTTAATATTATGAATACAGGTGAAAGAAGAAGTAGAGATCAGAAATGTTTTGCACTTGAAGAGGGCAGCCTCACAAACACGGTGTCTTTTTGTAAAATACGATGTAACCGTCAGCAGCTTGACGCTGTCTGTACTAGAATGCCTATAAACCTGGTGATAAAACATAAAGGTTATAATGTGACTGGAGCCTTGCATGTCATGTTGATTTGGTGCCTGGGTGGGGAAAAAAATGGAGGGATTTGAGGGGCAGCAGCGCCCTCTGGTCACTGAGCCGTGAACTGCACTGAGAGTTGAAGAAAACTCAAGGCCTTGTGATTTTACAGTCAACCACACTGACGAATAATGATGACGTTGACAAATGTGTTAATTAGTTTCAAATTGATCCCCGAGTTCAGAAGTAGAGAAAAGAAGAGAGTCTAACTATTTCATCACGTTCTACTGTAATTAAATCATAATGTTAGGTTAATTATTGATTTCACAAAGTTCTGTTAATTTATCAAATCATGGACGTAACACTGCTGTAACACAGCTGCGTGGATTCTGACTAATCTTTCTACAATCTGTCAACACACGTTCATCTTTTCTTTTTACTGTTCTTATACAGTGAGCACCATCACTGTCTATGGCCATGGTTCCCAAGGTGGGGGCGGGACTTATTGCTAATTAATAAATGACAACAGCAGTTTTGAAGGACTTGTGTTCATCTACAATATTACTATCTACCTGAGGGGGCGCTGCAGAAAAAGCTGGGGAAGAACTGACTTATGGAAAGGTGATAGAATAATTCTTCTATCTTGTTAGAATCAATGAGGAGGTTAAAGATAAAGGCTGGGGTCCTTACCTATAGCTGGGGCATTGATACAGAGTTCTTTGGCCAAAGCCAGAAATGTTTTTCCCAAGACGTAGACGTTCACCTGTGGGAACGGAAACAGTAAATAAAAATCTTGAAACTGATGTAAATGAAGCCATTGAGATTCATAACATTCAAATCACATTATTGTCTCTAAGTTGGACTGGTGTGATAATGTAGCTTCAGTTTCAAATAGAGACTCACAGCAGTTGGACCACAGTTGTGTCAGGTCCAGGTATTCAAGTATTAAGTATCCACGTGTACTCAGATGAATATAAATACATATGAAGTTTTATTTTATTTTGTTTACGCTCTATAAAATTTCAGATCTTCCACAATGATGACATCTCCTGTGTTATTTAGTTGCCAGATTAGACAGACAGAACACAAATCAATTATTACAACGTGTTACTGTCAACTCTACCCACAGACAAACACTGGTCCATGAGCCGTGCTAATCCCTATATTAGCACAAGTATCACATTTTCATTGTATGTGACCGAGTGGGGGCCATGAGGGGAGTCAAAGTATTGATCGGGTGTAAGAAAAAAAAAATCACTACAAAGATAAATCCGGCCCAGCAACAAGCTGCAGCGCAGCTGTGATTTATGTTAGCATGTTAGCAGAGTGCATCATCAGGGTTATCTCAGTGGAAACTCCCATCACAGATGTTTCTTTGTGTTCTGACCACAGCAGCTCCAGAAAGAACGGCAGTAAATTCTATCACCCCCGACTCTATCTGAAAGGATCTGACGGGGAGTTCTTGCTGTACGACAAAGACACGATCCTCTCACAGGTTAACACCGCTGCAGCCCACAGCCACTGGTTTCAGAGCCCAAATGTGAAGCAGAAGGCAGGGAGACAGGGGTCATGAACTCAGGTCACATCTCCTGTCATGCCTTCAGACATACTCCAGACCTCCAGGGTTTGCTTTTTTTTTTTTTTCCAAAGCAGACAGACGCGTATACTTTCACTTTTGGTCAACCTTCTGGAGTAGAGGAGGGAAGCAGATGCTCCTCAACTATTTTGGGACATACACCCAGTGGGACAATTGTTAAAGAAAAGTTTTTAGAAAAATGAGTGAAGGTGGAAAAACAAGTGCTATTTAAAAAAGGTCTGATCTTACTAATTGCAGTTAAACATTTATGTATATTTTCATTTAAAAATAAATTATTTTCATACAAAACTGTTCCACCTCAACAACCTGCAGCCAACACAGTACAGTTAAAAGAGAGACTTCTGCTCTGAGACGACCAGGTAACACTAATGTTGAAATAAAAGGGTTTCAAGTGAAATAAACATGACATCACACCAACACAGCAACAAGTGTTTGGGTTAAAGGTGCATTTCAGACTTTTCATGCTCTAGTACGAGCACCTTTGCTAACAGTTAACACTAACTGTACGCAAAGTCGGACTGAAGCACTTCAGCTGTGTTTTGATAATGGTATTTTTCTCAGGTAAAACATTTGAAATCCACAAAGATGTCTGAATTCACCAACACCCCTCCTCAGACCAAGACGGAGAAACTGACATGGTCTGCTACACAGTTAAAACTTCTATCCCATAATAAACAGGTGGTATTGATCCACCCCTCATCAATAAAAGGCTGACTCTGCTCCAGCAGCTTCACCACAGCAGAATGAACCAGTGGCTCCGGCTTCTTCTGGACAAAGCAGCTAAGAGCTCAGAGATGGGGGGGAGGGAGGGTGGGGTGGAGCCGTAAAAGTAATTGGTGGTCCGATCATTGCCGACCCACAGCGGCAGCAGCCTAAATGCTGGACATTTATAACATCCACCCCACCCACCCCACCCAAATCCACTTCAAATACACACCCTGTTTCCACATGCCAGGGCGGTGCGGGCACGGGGGAGGGGTGGTCCTGCTGCTACACGACAGCTGGGTGCTTAAAAATAAAAGCCCCCAACCAGCTGTGGCTCTGAGAAATGCCCCACCACACCCCCAACTCTCCGTGAATTATACATGCAGACAAATGGAGGACCTGCTAAATTTATACCTACCAGCGTGTGCACGAGCACGTGCACCAACGTACAGGCACCGAGGGTTAATTATACGGCTGTAAGTCTGACAACCAGATGACTACAGGGGCGAGCTGTTCAGCACAGATGCATCATGGGAGTCGTGGTGAGAGAGGTGGGAGTGTATAATTAGCTGGACGTCAAAACACATCAAAGTGAAGAGTTTTTTTATAAAGAGTATTCGTATATTTAGTGGTTACTTTTATAAGGAACCATTTAAAACCATCTGATCACAAATTCCACTGCTCGTCGAAGGTGGTGTTACCTATCAAACTAATTGGGGGGGTCACAAGAAATATCGATAAATGATGACCTTGTTGGAAAAGTTGTTGGAAGCTGCCAAACGGATAAAAAAAAAAAAATTCAAGTTGGTCAGCAGAGTAGCTAAAGGTCATGTGAAAAAACCTAATACTGTAAAACAAAACTATTATTTGTGAACAAGAAAAAAATTATTATTTAAAGTGACTTTGTAGCCAATGGGCTATATTTTCATGCTGGCTACAATGTTCAACCCTGTTCTAAGCCATTTGTCAACCCTCCATGTTCATTTCAGGTGAATGCATCAAACTGATTAGAAAAGAGGTGAACAAACTACGGCCCATTGGGCTCTCTACTCTGGCCCGCCGAACACTGGTCCAGCCTGTGAACCAAAACGATTGTCCATCTCTAAATTAGAACAACTGGGAAACGTGGGGTGGTACTGCACAGGTTAGCAAAGACACAACAACAACAACAACAAAGGTGGAACCACAGAGTTCTACCGACACACGCTGCTCTGTCTTTCACGTCCACTCCTGCCCACGATCCCGTTTGGACCAGAACATTACCACTGCCTCGTTCCCTGCAAATAACGCGAAACTCAATACCACCCCCTAGTGGAAGTATTGCTTGACAACATGCCAAACATACAGTAAGGCACATAGCGCCTTAACCAGTGCTAATCATGCTAATCCAGTTGCTTCCCTGTCATATTTGTCCACCTATAAGAACAACATACAGTTATTTACTGCTACGGCAGACAGAGACAAATCTGAGTTTGAAGTAGTCTGTCTGATACACAACACCCGCAATGAGGAAATTTCCATTTCCACCGCCTCCCTCCCCTTTTCCACACCCAGCTGGTCACATGATGTGTGTCATTGACAACCGATTATTGTGCCACTGGAAAACAACAACGCAAAACTCAAATAGGGCAAATGCTGGTGGCCACTGGGACTGGGACCATTTTCATTTTCACTATTCAAAGCAGACAATGCAACCTCCAGGAGAAAGGTTTCAATCATCTCCTTGTGTCTATTTCTTTTTCCTTAAACCAGTGTTCCTGTCTATTTCTTTTTCCTTAAACCAGTGGGTGAAGTGAGGATGTAGGTGTCAAACGTACCTGCAGGATGTCACTGAGGTCCAGCAGCATGTCTGAGCACAGAAGGTTAAGGCAACAAAAACTGAGACCATATTCAATAGTCACAACAAACACATAACTGAAGTTTTTAACCCGACAGAAACTGAACTTTGACCTTCCTCACACATTACCATGTGTGTAAGGTGTTGAGCTCAGGTCCCTGTGTCAGTGGACTGGAATCCCTGACACTGAAACGTCACAACTCACAAACCAACAAACAAGACCCTGACCCTTTGTCACACACACGCACACGCACACACACACACACACACACACACGCACACGCACACGCACACACACACACTTCTGGATTTGAAGCCAGCACCACTGTGGTCTCCGTGGAGACAGGTGCGGCGGTCTCCAGGCGTCCCCGGGGACGGATTAGTGTGGCTCCTGTGGAAAGAGCCTCACAATGGAATTAGCAGCAGCGTGGATGAAATGGAAAAGATAATCCCAGAACACCCTATCTGGAGATTAGAGAGGACAGACTTTAAACCTGCAAAACAAAAGGCAGAGTGGGAAGAGCAGCACATCTGGGTCTAATGAAAACAGTGACATCTTCTGTCTCTGCAGCAGGAAGGACTCAGACTAAATGACGGTGGTTTGGTTTTATTATGAAGAGATTGACAAATATTTGCCATATGTTTGTAAATTAGTGTCTCAGACGGTGAGACAAAAAGACAGACCTGTAGCAAAAACCAAGAAACAAGAAGATCAGGCGCCAGAACAGAAACAAAGTCAGTGCTGAAGGCTGAGAGTAGAGGGTCACTGGTGCAGAACTTCAAGACACACCATTTTACCATGAGTGTTAAAAAAAGCTGATTTTGAATGTTGATTTTAAAACAAAAATGAAACAGGACCCTAAAATAATAAACTCTGAGCTGCTTCCTTCCCTCCATCAGCTCTGGAGGCCACTCTGACATTTCAATCACACCAGCCTTCAGGCTGACTGAGAGGGTGGCAAAACCAGCCTGACCCTCTCTGTGCCATTTGTCAGAAATATGTCTTCACCTGCTGCCCTGCAGACGATTATCTCACCGTAACTGATGGGGTTCTAACAGCGGTTTGTTCTGGAAACAGAGGCGGGAAACAGAGAAGAACAAAAGGTAGAGAAAGGTCAGCGGGAAGAGAACGGCAGTGGAAGGTGGAACCGATGATTAGTGCGCCGGCTGAAAACGGATGTGATGTGAGGCCCTGGCGTCCAGAGGCTGGACAAATGTTTTCCTCCTCCCTCCCCATATCTTCGTCCTGATTCTCCTCTGCAGAGCTACACACGCACCTAAATGTGGAAGAGGAAGTGAGCAGAGCTATTTATAACTGCTGCCTGACTGCAGCTGGAGGAGGAGGGAACACACTCTACATTTAGAGAGGGACACACACACACACAAACAGTGGAGCAGGAATAACAAACAATAGAAATGATAACATTAAGGACGATAATAATCATTATTATTATCGTTATTAGCGGTATTATTATTATTATTATGCAGTCCAGTTTAATTTCTGCTGTGAAGGACTTTACTTCTGTCCACTTCACCTGTTAATCAAGTCTCTGTATTAGGGTCAAAGCTCCCACCACAGCTCTTCTTCGGTGCAGCAGGCTGTGTGATTTGAACGACCGGTTCCTAAACGGGACATCAAGATAAAATCCAGACCTCCCACCTTCTACATTTACAGCCACAGAGCAGTGAAGGATACGCGGCGTCCCCTCGGTGCGGCAGACCAGGTAGAGGCAGGCAGCGATGATGTGAGACGCCTTGCGTCCACGAGTCAGGTGTTTGGTCAGAGCCATCCTGTAGAAGTTGTAGGCCGTGTCCAGACAGTGCTTGTTCATCTGCAGCTGGTGACCCAGAGTGTTGATCTGCTGCTTGGCTGAGAACAGACACAGATGAGTCACTTCACCATGACGACACTGACCACACACATCCCTCTGTTGACATGTGGTTCATTTCTTTCTTTTCTTTTCTTTAATCAATAAAAGACTTAATATCACACATGGAGGGACATTATCGTCCACTGCCTGAGACAGACATGTTTATTTCTGCAGGTGTCTGATTTAATCACTACAACATGTTCAGACAGGTGTGTTTCATCATTACATCTCTGTCAAGTGCTCAGCTGTGATACCATTTATTTGATGAACCATTTATTTGGTCCAAACATCAAACATGATTGTCCCTCATCAACTGACTATTTATTTTCACCTTTTCCCAAAACTAATGAATTTAAAGGAACTGGATTTCTGTCCTTAGATGAGACAAAGAAGCAGGTTGTGTTAAAGACGTCCTTTAAAACAGCAACAAAAATAAACAGAGAGAAAGATTATTATAATTTAATATTTTATTTAAACTTCACTGGTATCCACGGTACAACCTACACCAACTATTTCAAGCATGTTTAAGGTTCATTTTCAAGGACATTCTATCTGATATTATCAAACCAAAGACTGAATTATTTTCTCATAAATGACTTATGTACATTATGGTCAACGGAACGTTTTAGGAGAGAAATGTTTCACAGCAATTTGAACATTTAAATAAAAAAGAAAGGACAATAAGGGGCAGAAGTCACAGCCACCGACTTCAAAACCAATGACGACGCCACGACGACGTATTTGGTGTATGAGTTCACACACATACACACAATAAATCATATTTTTAGCATAAACTCCTAAAGTGCTAAAAAGGCATCATGACACGCACAACTGCAGCGGATTCCATTGGGACAAGTGTGGGGTGTGTGTGTGTGTGTGTGTGTGTGTGTGCATGAGAGACAGTAAACGTCTCAGTGTGTCATTACATGGTCAAGCAGACAAAGAACATGTGTTGGTCATCTTCAGATGATCTTCAGACACAAACAGGTAATAGTAACATGTGGAGACACAGAACAACAGGTTGTAATTAACCTTCACTGCTGTAGGCTGTGTGTGTGTGTGTGTGTGTGTGTGTGGATGCTCAACATGTTGAGCTCATGGAGGGTCATGAACTTAGGCTGAACACAGACACACTCACACGCTGGTGTTGTGTGTGTGTATGTGAGTGACTCTGATCTCATCACTGTTTCATCATTCCACTCAGAAACACAGACTGCAGCCGCAAATTCAAGGAGCATGACGCACACACACACGCACACACACAGCTTCCTTAACTCAGGCAGATAATTGAAGATGACATCACATTACTGCAGGGTTCATTCATTTCCACCAGCTATAATCTAATCGCTTTCTAACATTATCTACATTAAAAAAAAGCCAGGTTCAAACGACATCACCATGACGTCAACAACAGTGTCAGAACAGAACTCTGGGATTTAAGAAAAACCACTGGAGACTCATTTCATTTCACTGCTGTTGTTGAAAAAAAAACAACACAAACTGCTGAACGTGAATGCAGCGCAAACCTGTGTGTGGAGTACAACTGGAATTAGACTTAGTCGTCTGCTCCGCTCACAAACTAGTTCCTGAGCAAAATTTGTTTAAACGCCGTTCATCTGAATGATGGAGAAAGACTTTCTTAATAAATTCATTGGAGTCGTCAATGTACCCAGGAAACACTGTAGGTCGAGGACGTGGTAAACCGATGAACAACACTTGTACAATTCTGATGAAGTGCTCTTTATTTCTTATCACTCTACGGTGGTTCTTGGTTTCTAACCTGTGTGAAGGACTGGCTCTTTAGCTAATCTACAGTCTGTAGGATTAGAGTCAGTCACATGAGGCTTCTTCAGAGCAGCGACCAAAATCATTAACGCACAGTGTTCTGAGATGATTCACAGCCACATTTGAGACATCAGCTATAAATCACTTCAGTTAGAACAAGCTCAACAACAACAACAACAACAACGACACAGAGCTACAACAAAGGTCTGATTCTACTCTGTGTCTGAACCTAATGCTGTGAAGAGGTTTGTGTCACTGGTGATAAATGGACTGCAGCACACACTCACACAAACACACTTTTCAGAACAGCATTCTACTGCCTTTATATTCTGTATCTACTCAGTTTGAATGTTGATAAAAAAGAGAGAGCAGTTGAATAAACCAATGATTGAGCCAAATGTAAGGAGAAAAAATAAGATTGTTGGACAGAAATAGGTGAGGAGCAGCAGCAGCAGCAGCAGCAGGAGCAGCAGCATAATACACTGGCCTCTATCACCTCAACATCACTGGCTCTCTGCCTACAACTGCATCAGGCCCAGATGGAGCCCAGCACAATGATACCAGTTGCTAATGTCCATCAAAAGATCACTGATGTTGGTCAGTGTTTTAACGGAAGAATCCAAGAGTCAAACCTGCTCCTCTGTGAACACTTCAGGGTCAAAGTGAATGTCTGTATATGTTTACTACACCTGAAAACTCGCCCCCTCTTAATGTAGGCGTGCGTCGCGGAGTCACATCAGTTTTCATCAGTCATCGCAGCATTAAAACTACACCTGAAAACTGTTTGTGTTGCAGCGCTACCATCGCCCCCTCTTAATGTAGGCGTGCGTCGCCATCTGCAGGTCACATACCTCTGTGCAGCGTCTGAGCTCGAGACTCTGAGCCCATTCCGTGTCCATCTCCGAAAACTGGATTTTTGTTTCCTGTTAAAAACAAGATAATTTTTAGGAACTCAAACGGAACAATCACAAACAACATCTGCTTCTCAGATTAAAAAAAAACGGGCAATTTAAACCAAATGTTTTAACACTCATTTATCCTGACAAAGTGCTCATTTGAAATTTAATTTTTAGAGTTTTAAATAATAAACAAATTTAGACACAACCAAGAAAAAGAAGACAAAGCTGTATGGAAGGAGAAACATTAAATAAATATTTGCTTTAACTGTACATGAGGGACAATGTTTTCAGGGGGGTTTATTTTTTTAGGTATAATATAATACAATATTTGACAATGATGAACCTTTTCAGGACAAAAATATATAGAACTATTATATAATTTTAATGTTATGTACTGTTTTTATTCCACAGAATTCATAGCAGTTAAATTGTACATCCACAAGGCAGACGGAGGTGGAAGGCAGTGTTCAAGAACTGAAAAAAAATCATATAAAAAGTGATACAAGAGTGAATATGACAACACACACACAGATATACACATCTATTACACACGACACACACAGTGTATTGGACCACTCTCCCACACCAAATTCCTGCCTCGTGTGGCCACAACTTAACCCATGTTTCCCAACCTTTTTTGAGCCACAGCACATTAGAAAAAAAAACATGCCACACCAAACAAAAATCTTACAAAAAAGTACGTAATGAAATATAATATTTTTGTTTAAATTCATGACTGACTGTGTGAAAATCTGGGTGTGTTTATGTGAAGACAACGCTGATATACTAGCAGCAATTGAAGAAAGACAAAGATCTCCACTCCTTCAACAGGTCTGATTTTGTTTTTAGTTTTTATAGCCATCTGTTGCCATCTAGTGGAAGAGCCTCTAACTGTTTTGTCTGTCACCATTCATTTATAGTTTTCAGACCAATAAAGTGAAATCACAGCACATTAAATGATCTCTCACAGCACACTAGTGTACCATGGCCCACTGGTTGGGAATCACTGCCTTAAACCCCAGGGGTTAGTCACCCTCACCTTCTGAGGACACGAACTGCCCGACAGCCAGCGAACTGCCACCTCCAGTCTCCACAAACTCCACCTCAGACACAATGATGTTGTCCTCCAGCACTGAGCCACAGCCCATGCAGACTGCATCTCCACGCGCCTGGTCCACATCAATGTCCGAGCTGCCGCAGTTCTTGCAAACCTTGGGGCTCATGGTGACACTGAGGAGTCTTCAAAGTCTGCGGAGAAAAGATGGGAGACCTCTGGAAGATCAATGCTGTTCGTCTTTGAAGAGCCTCAATATCAAATGTTTGTTTAAAAGGTTGTCAATATACCTAAAAACAAGTACAGGACTAGGGTGACCTACAGCATTTTGTGGTTACGTCACCATCTCCCAACATTTGTTTAAAGTCTTGTTCCATCATTCTGACATACAGCGTTAAAACAAATGGCGTGCAGAGCGGATGAACACGTCGTCACCTGGTGTTATAAGCCCAAGACTGTTTTGTTGAATGCATGATAGACCAGCTTTAAGAAAATTCAACACTACATACTGGACCAGTCAGTTTACACAAACCACCGTTTGCAAATGATTTTCCTGTGTGTTTGAGTTTAAACAGCGTTCAGACTTTGCAGAACGACAAAAGACAAGTGAAGTAGCAGAGAGGCCTCCTACGAGAGACAGACACCAACACTGGTGTTGCCTCAGAGCATCAGTGATCATTATCACCTGTTCTGCTGTTTACACAGAACATCAATGTTTGAGGACTTTGCAGAGCTCTCTGTTGGATCAATGAACCATCCTGGGGTGGAAGACAGAAGCTGCTGTGAACACGGCTTCTACAGAGGACAGAAGACTGAGCAAAATTCAAAATGGTGGATTTTTTAATGTTAAGTGAAACATTTGTTGGGAGTGTACAGTGCAATAGAACAGTTGGGTTACAATACACGACCAGTGCAAACCAATCAGACAGGTCTGTCCTCACCTGCACGTCTCATATTCAAGGATAAAGTCTTACTTCTAGCTGCACAGCTTGTAGTGGAGGAAAAGCTTTTCACCAAGTCAAAGAATAAAACTTGTGTAAAATAATGTATAAAGTAATGCAGGTGGGAACAGAACTCTGATGTAATTTCAGCTACATCAACACACTGTGCCTCTTAATATGTGGAATCATCCCAGTTGTAATGGTATTCAAGGTATTCACTGGAGGTGACAATATTTCCGCCCTCAAAGTTAACCACTGCCCCCATTCCAGTTTGTTTTTTAATTTATTTTTGAAAACTGTCCAGAGAGTAACCCTGCCTTACCTATTCGTCCCCTCCCAAAAATGTTTGTATTTTAGAGGGGTGTAGGCCGTAGTTGGCAGGGAGGGGGCCACCCTCTCAGTATCTCATGCATTTCCAACCACGCTTGAAGGTGTGCGAGCAGGGGAGGGGCATTTGTGTTTGTCATCCGTGGGCAACATTTCATAATCTTTAAATTAACTTGTGGGCAACTGTGAATCTGTGCCTTTGTATTTTATTTATATTTTAATTGAGTTATCACTTCTATCTGTTCGACCTGGCCTGTTTTGTTTTTTTTTTTAAACATAACTCTAAACAGTGTTTTTGGTTGCTAGAATGATGAAGAATGACAGGGATGATGCTGCAGTAGTGATTGTGCAGGAATCACTTATCAGCTACGTGGCACACTTCAGTAACTCTGCAGGCTAACTCAGCGGGTTTTTTACTTCTTTTATATTTAAATTAACCGAAGAGAAAAAAAAGCCACATTTTTATTTTAACACCTACACACACACAGTTTTTTCAGTTTTAATTTCAAACGTCTATTAAATCGCCCTGTTAGCAGCGCGTGCAGTCTTATGAGTGACAGCTGAAGCTAACGCTGCTGTTGCTAACAACCGGCAAATACCAAACACACAGTTTATCACACCCACAGACACTTGCACACAGACACTCGTGGACCGTGTTTGTGTTGCTGGTGTGTATTTCTGGCGTTACGTTTCTATCGTACGTACCTTCAGAGTTTAAATAAGCAGTTTATAAAAAGTCCGTTAGCAGCAGCAGCCCGGGTCCAAAGCCGCCGGCAGCAGTTTAACCACCACGTCAACACTGACCGTCTGTACCGACTCTTCTCTCTCTAATGTAGATGTAATCGAAATGCATAGGTGAGCTGTAAAGTTTGTGAATCAGCGCGTACTGATCCTCCACATGTTGCAACGTTAGTGCAACCCTCACATATACACAGCTAACATGTGCTTCAGAGCCGGAACATACCAACACAGTCCGCAGGGGGGTAGCAGTTCGACGGCCCGCCTGTCAGTCTCATGAAAGTGAGTTAAATGAAGATGTATTTTTAACTGGCGAGTGACAATTATTGTTAAACCTAAAAAATATTACTTATTATTGAAGGTGTTAATACGAAGTTGCTGTGAAAAAGACTACACCCCCATGTAACTGACGCAATGGTACAGCCTACGTAAGCGTTTTTAAACAGACAGGTACGTCAAAGTGATGTGGGCAATTAGATTTAATTAATTATAATTCAATACAATAATAATTAAAACACTGTATTATGGTCAGTAAGTAGAATGAAAATGTGTGAAATGTATAAATAAAAACTTATTAAACTTAAAAAAGTCCACGCAGTTCTGTACCCATTATTTATTAATTAATTATATACAGTAAGGAAAAAACAATTGTAAGGTAATAAAATGTAAATCTCGTAGAAATTTATAATAAATGCATAAGGAAATTTATTTTTTACTATTTTGTAAATTAGATACCCCATCACCACTTTATTTATTGTCATAATTCCAATTAATATATCTATTTATGACAGACTTTAGTGAGTTCTTTTACTTTTCTTATTGTCTTATCCTGTCTGTTAACATGTCCAAATAAAGATTATTCTATTCTATTCTATTCTAAATAATGTAAACCAAAAACGTCATTGTAAGAAGTGTGTGATCACTACCAATATCACCTCATGTATGAATTGACTCTTAGCACATTGGACTTGGGTCCTGTTTTCCTTTGCTATGAATCAAGAATACTTCTAAATAAAACAGACACAGAAAACACAGAAACATAAACACTTGACTTTATTCTCAACAGAATTTAGCAATTCAGCATTTTCAGGAAGTAAAAATGTGTTAATAAAAACAAGTTAAATCATAAGGTGAGGTTATGTTTACATTGACTAAGTCACCACTTAGACAAAAATACTGATTATGGAATAAAGATAATCCAGACGGCCGCTCCAGTAATCCTCATATTTACCATGATCACATTCTGTAACTTAAACCAACTTTGTTATTGTAAAGAAACAAATCAGAAAAACAGTTATTGTTATATATTAAACAAAGATATTTTGTTCATCCTGAAGACGCGAATTAGAACAATCTGACTCTAATGGTGTTGATGGGGGATGAACAGGTGTCTAAACATTTATCAACTATCTGCTCCTCTGTGTGCCTCCCTCTCAGGGAGCCTCAGACCAAACAACCTCAGTTGTTTTGTAAACAGCATATAAAAATAATCTATACATTACAAAGTAGAAGGCAGGGGAGGTGACGGTGACGATGAAGGTGAACGCTCAGTCTTTAGAACCACACACAGGTGAGGTGAACATCATTCTGATTTTTACTCAGTTTAACTTCAGTCAGAAATGAGTCAGAAATCAAAGGACAACTTCACATCTTTCTTTCAGACCGTCTCCTTCCTGTGCTGGCACATCTTTGATCAAACAATGGCATTTATCTTGGAAACTTGTTTTGTTTTTTTTTTAATATAAGGTTCATTGCTGCTTAGCACAACAAACCTGTCAAAGTGACAGATCAACAACTTCATTCTTGGCTAACAGTACATAACCATCACAGGAAGAAGTAAACGAGGGATGTTACCAAAATTTAAAAATGAGCTTTAAAACCATGTGAGTACATACAGTACATGCCTCGTGTTAACTGTGGAAGATTAAACAAAATAAATCTTACAAAAGCCTTTTTAGGTTAAACTACATTTAAAGCATATTTGATACATCTTTATATATAAAATAAGAACACTAAATAAGTCACTAAAATGCTGACTCCACACAGATTAAAACAGCCTCATAAAGGACAATTCCACCATTTAAAGCTGTAATTCATGACAACATTGATCTTATTCAGGGGTTGGAACAGCAACATTTAAATGCCGACACAACCCTTTTTTATCGTGTTGAATTTAAAGCATAAACAATCAATCAGGTTCAGAAATGAAAGAAACAACCAATATCTGTTATTTTAAGTCTCAGAAGAGAAACTGAACTAAAAAAAAAACATGTAGTTCCATATGAATGTGCTGAATGTCCTTGTGCTGGAAGTTCCTGGTTCTGTGCAGTGGAAATTTAGTGAAACCATTTCTCCTAATGTGCTTTTTTAAAAGAACATTCCAGATTTAACTTTAGCTCTTACACTTCACTCCGTTTCTCATTCCTGGTTAGGCAGACTTGACATTTAACCTTTGACCTTCATGTGGAGGAGACAGGTTTAACAGGTTTAAGTGACTCTATGAAGGCATGGGGAAATACAATCATGTCCCCAGAAAGACATTTAAGTGACTCTATGAAGGCATGAGGAAATACAATCATGTCCCCAGAAAGACATGGGACGTGTGAAGTGTCAGCAAACCATTATCAGAATACACACACACACACACACACACCCATCTTAATTTAAACCCTAACTCTATTCTGACCAACATTCTAATCCTAACTTCAAACTAAATCTTCAACCTCAAAATAGCTTCTCACTCAGGTCCTCCAGAATAATATACTATATATTTTTACGAAAAAGTGTACCCACAAGTACAGGTGTACCAGAAACACACACGCACGCACGCAGACACACACTAACTGGTTCACCTACAGACGCAGCAGCAGTTTATAGCATATCTAAAGTCAGGAAGAACCATTAAATGTCATGAAAAGTTAACAAATGTTGAAAATCAAGAACAGAATCATTTGGATAAAAGAAGGACACATAAATTAAAGGACTTATAAAACATCACTGCTGGGTTCAACATGTAAAGGTTAACGTTGGTTTTGAAGACGATGTAGAAAAGTGACAGAGTAAAGACTCAGTCTGTCTGTGTGTTTACAGAGGTATTAAAGTGAATATAAAGTGTAAGTCATTCTTTATCATCTGTATAAAGATGTTCTCTTTGTAAAAAAACAACCAGGACAAGAACTGGCATCAAGAACCAATGAGTTACCAGAAGAAAAAAAAACAGATACCCCTCACTGAGTCGGGGACGAACACTTGGGTGTGTGCTGCCTGCTGTAGAGTCAGAGTGCACGTGAGCGTGCACCTCACTGGTCCCGAGATTCATACAGCAGTTTGGCCGCCTGTGGTAAAAACACAGAATGGAGTGGATAGGGGTACAAGGTTGGTGGGAAACTGTGAGTTCAACATTCCTACACTTACCTACCTTCATAACTATCATTTGTGTTAGTACTTTGGCTGCTCCTTTGACTCTACAGTGTGACATAACTCACATACTGTACATAAGTACCTCTCGACATAACTCACATACTGTACATCAGTACCTCTGTCACTCACCTATGCTAACACCAAACAACACAAACAAAAGAAAGTGAATGTAGCACAATCCAATGTACGGCATACAACCAGAGACTGCAGTCAAAGCCGTCTTCCACGTGTATCGCCCCACGACAACGACCTACTCACCTCGGCAACTTGTTCCCGTGCAAAATTTGTTTTAATGCCATACATTGAAAAAATAGAAGAAAACTTTAACAAATCTATGAGATGGAGACGTAACCACGAAATGCCGTGGGTCGAGGACATGTTAAACCGAGGACGACTGTATTTTTAGGGGTCTTTAATATTTAAAATATAGCCCATAAAATCTGTGGCCAAAGAGCTAATGCTAAATCACTCCTTACCTCAACCTTTAACATGACATCTAACAGAAAACACTTGTCCTACATGGAGTTTTCCACTCAGACTTTGCAAAAGTAAATATTGGACCACAGCCTCGACAGTAGCCCCACTCCTGAGGGTTCCTAAGTCAAGCTCAGATACTACTGTCATTTAGCTGATGCTAATGTTTTGGGTTTTTTTTTTTTTGCTGATGCTAATGTTTTACTCTCTGACCGTACCTTGTGCATGGCAGTCAACCATAATGAAGCTGCCTTCTTATCATCTGTTGCCTCCAGGCGGAGCTGCTGAGCTTCCTGAGAGCCCATTGGTTTGTAATGAAGAAGCATTCCACTGGCTCGTGTGGTCCCTCCTACACTCACGCACACACACATACAATTGCAAAACAGTCAAAGGAGAAACAAAACCTAAAAAAAAATGCATTGCACATGACCAGTCTGACCACTAGATGTCACTAAGACACAACATTTAACATCTAAACAAATCAGCAGCAACAGTATTTTTGAGACAAGCACACAAACATGGAGCACAACAGAAAAGCTTCATGCAGACAGATGACGGCACATGTGAGGACACTGACTGAGCCTCAGGTTATGGGCTGGACACCTTCATGTTCTTCTGTCATGAGGAGAGAGCTGGATATGTTTGCTGCCCAGTAAATGCAGCAGCGTGTTGGTCTGACGCTCATCAACTGAGACACAGTCAGTGGGAAGAGACGTGGACAGAAGCTGAGCTAACCTTCGGAGAGACAGTGACTGTCCATCAGACTGGTGTAAGTGTGAATGTCAGAGTCTGAGACCAGAGGAGGAAGAACACCACCACCACCGTCATCATCAGAGTCATCAGTGTCATTGCAGCAGAGTAGAAGAGTTTGTTAGTCACAGCTTGGAGGAGAAAATATTACAGACTAAAAAGATCAGTGTTGTTTAGTGAGAACAACATCATGGATCAACACAAAGTTAAATAAGTGAATAAGTTCACTTTGGTTAATTACTCCGTTTCTGTAAATATTTGTAGTTTCTCAAGAGTTCCACTCTCACCTCCTGGACTTGTCCCATCTGTCAGGATCTGAACACTGGACATCCGTGACAGCTCCACCTCAAAGTGACTTTCACCGTCCAGGAACAGATACCTGAGCTCAGAACAATACCCAGTTGTGATAATGTGTTCTTCCATTACATTTTCTTCTCAGAATGTGACCTCAGAGAACTCTAACCTCTGGTTGTTGGAGAGGCGACACGTCATGGTCTCTGTCTTCTCTGATGTCCCCAGAGTCACAGCAAAAGTGCTGCCTGGAAAAGCGACAAAAACACACAAAAAAAACATGTTAAAGTCTCTCCTGATTTTGTTTAACAATAAAAAAACTTTTTCAGCTGTTGTTAATATTATTAATAATAATATTAATATTATTAACAGCTTGATCTTCTCACCTGCCAGCAGGACTTTGAGCTGCTTGTCGAAGAACTCCATCTCTTTCTGAGAAATGAGGCTGCACTCAGCACACTGACGCACAGGGTCAACAAAACACATGCGCGGCAGCGCCACCTTCTTACTGCAGCATTTATCACAGAAGCAGCGGCCACAGCGCCGACAGTGATGCTGCAGGAGGAGGAAAATCTGAATGTCACTTTTACTGCAATGTTGTAAAGTCACAGGTAACATCACGACTCTTGACAGTATAAATAAAAACCTAATGTGACTAAACTATGCTTTAATTTCTTGGTTTTTATGATTAAAAACAACATTTATAGAAAATATGAGAAACATTTGGACAAAGGTGATCAGAGACACAGAACAGCAGGTAAATAAACCTGTGTGATTTATTTACCTGCTGTCACAGAGTCAACAGTGTGTTTCCAGGCCAAATAAATCACAGAAATAAACAGAGGACTAAAAAAATGTTTTAAAAATTAAATTAAAAGTTTTTACAAGTAAAATATTGTTGTTTGCAATGCTGTGTGCTTGTGCAAAAACAGGGATTTTTGCAATGTAGCAATCCAACAACCTTTCTCCGGATGAAGTCAAACTTGGTGTCACACTGCATACACCTCGAACACTGAAAGAAAAGGAAAAACAGGAAGTTACACAACCTGCTGTGCTCAGCACGCCAAGTTCAACCACCTCTGTAAAAGATAAATGTTTTCTCTTGATCATTGCCAAAAACAACCATGTCACCAGATCGCAGGACAATGTTTGGAAAATATGTTTTAAAATCATCCATTTTGATATATGACACATTTTCATCTGACAAAAAAATGTTATTTTGAGCTTTTTAAAAGTAAAGATCATAAGGATGTTTTTTGGAATAAATAATTTATAATAGCTCAGGAAAGCAAACTAATTATTTTTAAATAACTGATATATTTTGTTCTGTTGTTTAAGTTCAATACATGTTTATTTATTTTTATTGAAGCCCTGATTCAACTGATCTTCTGATTTTATCTTATTATTTTAATGATATTAAAGGTTTTACTAAAAAAAAACACTATAGTTTAACAGATATTTATTAATTAGCAGTGCTGTTTTGTATACATTTCACTGTCTGTCACTGAAGCTGTTATTAATGAGATACAGCTGACAGGCGTGTGTGACTGCAGCTGTGTGTTAGCTGCTATGCTAACGCCAACAATCAGCAGTGGTTTTTAATTAATTCAAAACTACATAAACACGATAAAATCCGGTTAATCTGCGATTTAAACCACGGGTCAATCTAAAAGAAGTGAATTAAAACTCTGACAGTTACAGGGTGACCGTGTTCTCCAGCTGCACCCAGTGCTGGAGCTAAGTGTTATGACAGGAGACAACTATGTTAAACTACCGCAAGTCAGGGTACAGTATACCGGAAATAACCTACCCAAATAAAAGTCCATCCACGAACCATGGTAATGGTAATGCCATACTTTAAACTTTACAAAGTATTAAAATTTGTTATTTTTTAATTCAATGTAACATTATAACTAAAGAACTTTCCTGTATTTCCCTGTAATACAAACATATTCTGTGTAAAAATATTTAATTGTTTTGGTTCAACCGCCTGCTCTTATATTGAAAAGAACACTGGGAAGCTGTACTGGTGTGTGTGGCCAACTCTCCTCCACCTCCCGCTTTTCCCGTAGCTCACTAAAATGCCTCGCTGTCTCTCACCTCTTTGTCCGGGACCCAACGAGGTTCGTCCAGGCTGAAGGGACTGTTGAAGGCGCCGTTCTCCGGAACCATGCGTAGACCGCTGGGACTGCGAAGCAGCTTCTTTCCGTCCGGAACCGACGACATTTTTTCTTCTTCTCCTCTCCTGACCACAGAACAACTCCTATCTGAGCCACACCCACTGTGTGCTTTGATTGACCGCATAATCAGCCAGTCACTGTACTAATCAGTGGTCACGTGAGACAGTGGGCTAAAGTGGAGTGTTTTGGTTTTCAAAGCTCCGCCCACGGACTAAAACCCTCACGTACACTGTACTGTTGCAGAAAAACACTGATGGAAAAGTTAATGTTTCCTTTTTTCTTTGAAGACAAACAAAGGCTTTTACAATGTTTCAGTAAAAATAAATCAGTATATTTCAGTTATATTACTATTAGAAGAGAAAAGATACATTCTATAAAGAATCCAACTGAAAATCATTTTCTGCCAGAGTAGGGGCAGGACCCCGCCCTTTAGAAGTAGAAAATTATTTAAAATAATCTAATTTTATTGTTTAATAGTTTGGCCAGTATTGTACAACAGTCTGTTTGTCGATCTGAAATCATTTCTGGTCAATTGGTGCAAAATTTTGTCAATATTGTCGCAAGATTCAATTGTATTATACACCTTTTTTTGTAATATTCCAACATAGCAGTGCTATATATGTTTATTAAGTATTTTTTGATTGGATAAACTTCTTTATTTTACTACTTACATTTTAATTCCCCCTAGAGTGTTACAATTTTTTGTGTTTAAAAAAAAAAGTGTTTAATCCAGATTTAAGGGATTACATTTTGCCATAGTAGATTAAAACTGTCCAATGACAAATAACAGTAGACACATAAGTACCAGCCTCATCCAGGAAACATTTATTTACCGTGACAAAATGAAAACACTTTAACAATGACAGTTTTTATATTTAACACACAGGAGATATGTAATTTAGAACCCCTCCTACATCCCTCTAGATGGAAACAAAATCACTGATCAAACTCTAAAGCTGATTGGTGGAGCAGTAAATGAGCAGAAAGCTGAATTCTAATTAATGAGTGAATGTTTATTGTTTACTATTTAAATTATTATTTGGTGAAATATTGGTAATTTTTCATGAAATCCACTTTTAAGGGTTTTCCAAGATCATTTCAGTTTTTTTGTAGGATGGCACGGTAGTTTTTTGTACAACTCTGAATTAAACAATGTATAATTGTTTAATTTAATTAATAATTCTCATAACAGCTCCACACAATCACAGCTGGTCCACTGGAAACAGAAAAAAATAATAATAAAAGAAGAGACAGAGATTTTAAATCATAAATTTACATTCATTTCATCAACGTCAACATCACTCAAAGATCATTTCTGCTTGACATCAGAGTTTCAAGATTTCGCATGGTTTAGTTTTTTTTTTTTTCGTTCCGTTGTATCTTACAAAGATATAAATGTAACAGCTTTGACCAAAGACTGCTGATAAAAAGTGAATAAAGTCGTTTGGTATGTGTAGTTTAATATTTAGTTGTCCAAGTGTTGAGCCCTGTGGAACACCTCACACTCTATATCATGAATTAAATCCTTTATGAAGACAGTTGCCCCCTAGTGGTTAACGCCTACTTCTGTCCATCTTTCTTAGCTTCACTTTACAAACCAAAAAACTACATCTATTTCTTATAATGTCATTTTTTGTAACAAACTTGGCAAATGTGGCTAGTAGGTTCATCTGTATTACTATTTATTTCCATAAACTGCTGAAGTGATTTTTATAATCTTGATTATTTTCTAATAGCCTTCATCATCATAGTATTACCTACTTTCTTTTGTCATCTGCTGCAGAAACCAAAGCCTAAATCATTGCCTTCATCTAAAAATATTGAAATATGTGCCTCTTAACTTTTTGGAGCTCCTACATTAAGACAAAAAGGAGAAAACTTCTCTCAAACACAAAGAGATGGTTGAAGGTCAGACTGAACAGTCACACACTGGACCCCGACCCATCGTTTAAAAAAACAGTGTCAATGAAATCTGTGATTATTATAATGATTTAGAACAGGATTATTGACATTCTTTGATTTACAAAAATCACCAAGACAAAATTATTATTATTATTATTCAAGTCGGTGAATTTACGTTACTGCATATTTACATTCTAGGGCATTTGATAAGTCTACCAAAAAAAAGACTGAAGCTACTGTAAATAAACAGTGAAGGAGACAATATTATGACTTGGAATGAAAACAAAAACAAAGTCACATACAAACAAAACCTCAGGTAATCATTATTAAATTCACTAGGGATGTCCAATAATATCGGTCGGCCGATATTATCATAATTATGTAATATCTGTATGGGTTTTTCCTCCAATAAAGAAAACCTGATAACGCAATGCCTGGGTTTTGCCAAATGATGTGTGCTCTAAAAATAGTTTTGGGGATAAACGGCTGTATATTAAAGTAACAGTCACTAGATGGCAGCATTGTAGCTCATTTTAATAATCAGGGGTATTGTATGCAAATGCTGGTCACAGCAACACAATATAGTGGTTTCTACAGATAAACAAATAAATATTACCAGGCCTGTATCGGTATGGGTTGATATGGGAATTAAGTGTTTCGAAAATGTCGGCATATCGGATATCGGGAAAAAGTTAATATCAGACATCCCTAATTCAGATGTGTTAAAAAAGCTTATTGCACAGCCCTGACAACAAACAACTGCGAAAGAACACAGCAATTACAAAAAATCTGAAGATTTATGAAACAAAACACATTTTTTAAAATATCTGGAAATCAGAATTTACTATTATTTTCAGACCAAATCATTTTTCAGGAAGACGTTTTATTAATAAAAATAATAATTTAAAAATAAATTTAAGTTGATAAATTTTAATAAAAATAATAATTATTTTTTTATTCATTTGTTATTTTTTTAAAGCTAAAGGTCACTTCAATTTTAAATTTTCATTCAACTAGCAGTGTGCCCCCCGGTGGTCAACAATACTACTGTCATTCTTCATTTAGTATAGTTTTTTTAAAGTGAGATCTGAAAGTGTGAATAAAACTTCATGTGTATTTTTAAAACTTACACTATATTAGAATTTAATGGTATAGATACTTTGGTTTATGAAGTTCTTCTTCATGTTTTTCTTGATAAAATTTTTTGTTACATTTTGTTAATGCTCAAAATGTTTTTCTTGATAAAAATTTTTGTTACATTTTGTTAATGCTCAAATCTTAGGAAGATAAACCTTTCGTAGGTAAACATAACTTTTTTTATGATTCAAGTATTTGCAACTAATATCAAAGGGAAAACAAATATTAAATTGTACATAACATTAACCAAGTCACTAAATAATGTTATTGTTTTAAGAGTTTTTGGTTTTTATTTGTTCAACTTCACTCTCGCAGTAAAGTGTTGTCGAGTGTAACCTCAAAAACAAACCTTAAAATTTCTCTGCCGTCAGTGTGTGAAACTAGAACCTGCTCCTGAGAAAGTTGTTGCCAAATGATAACAACTTTTTAATTCCAGAAAATAAACTATTTAAAGCAGCTAAAATGGACAAGAAACTACAACAAAACATTTTTGTAAACACAGATCTTCATAAGTAAAAAAAAGGTCATCATTCACACGGATCTCAGATCAGCGGATATTTGTCTTCATACACATCTTCATATTTGCTCCTGCTTCAAGGTTATTTCAATGAAACCTACAGCGAAAATCTAAAAGCAACAGCTAGCATTTATCAAAGTGCAGTGAAGCATAAAACTGTACAGTGGTGACACCAACGTTTTTACAGTTTACAGTCGGGAGGGTGGATCCTGACCACGTGGGACAGACCGTCAACGCGCCAGGTTGGTGTGACTGGCGCTCAGGTCACGACTCTTCCTCAGACAATTATTTCTTTCCTGCCAGAATGAAGAGACAGGGAGTGAACTTTGTTACAAAAACCTTGGTTATTTAAAAAACATTTTTTTAGCTTCACCAAGTATAGATAAGAAGCATGGCTGGTGTTGACAAATAATATTTTTTCTTATGGTCAAGTAAAAAAAAAAATATGAATGAATAAGGTTAGCCTGTGAGTCACATGACATAAATATAAGACTGACATGAAAGTCAACAGTTAGAGAGAGAAAGGACTACTTTTTCACACCTTGGGATCTAAACCACAGTTCTTATGTTTTTGTAGATTCTGTCTTTATGGTCTTTGGGTCTCAACAGTCTTAGATTGTCTAGATTGTAAATGGTAAAAATAAAAATACAAAACATATTTTGAGTCAACATTAGTGGTTCTCCAACTATGACATAAGCTGCATGTTTGAGACTCATGCTGTAGAGATACAAAAGAGAATCTGGTGCACATAAGGATGAAGTGAGTCACTTTGATTGAAAAACAAAACATTGTTTGTACATAACATTACGTGTGTGAAAACGTGTTTTCAGGATTTAATTGAAGTAGTACTACAACTAATACTTTATTGTACAGCATGCCTTTGTGTGGTAAACAGTCTAATAACATAAGTAGAAATAAATTAGCTTTTTTTATGTACTGGTCTTATCTGAGCAGTTGAGATTTATGCTGCTGGATTTTACTGTCATACTGGTAGTACTGAGAGAGACAGCTACTTTTGAAGGTACTACTAAGTACTTCTTAGGTCTTGAGAATCACATGGTCTGGTCCAGGCACTGATAATGGAAGTCTGGACCCTCATGGATACACTCAAAGACCCTTAGATTAGGACACTGTCTCAGTGTCTCATCAGTGTCCATGTCACACTTCAGTCTCCACCCCCTCTACCCCGGTCTCAGGTTCTTACTTGATACTGGTCACTCGCTGGCTTGTCCGCCACGTTAAGAACACTCAGAGAACTGGCTCTCTTCATGCTGCACCCAGGTCAGTCACATGCAGGTGGAGGGTGAGGTGGGAGGAGGCAGGGGTCAAGTGGAGAGTCAGGCGGGAGGAGTTAGGTTCACAGGAGATGGTGGGAGTGAGTGTGTGAGTGTTAATAACATGTTTATTACAAACAAACACACGTTTCAACAGTCAGGTGTTTGACATTAAACAGAGATGGCTAACATAGGGCTCCTGGACCAAAATGGACCCATGAAACACCTCACTCTGGTCCTAAATGTGTTATCGAAGAAAACATTCTGTCCATCATTCCTTAAAAATATATTTTATTCTACTTACTCTAAGTTATTGACATATTTACTCACCGTCTCAGATGCAATATTGATTATAAAATTAAAAGACCCAGAACCAGTCGCCCCCTGGTGGATATTTAGTATGCGTTAGTCTTCACTTTGAAATCTGAACAAATACAGTCTTTTCAACAGGTCCCTGAGGCACAGAGAAAAAGGCGCAGAGCTAACAGACAGCAGGAAACCACACAGAAGCATGCAAGGAGACAAATTCAAATAAAAACATTTATTCATAAATAAAACTTCTGACACAAACAAACAAAAACAGCCATGCAGTTTGTTTTTGGAGTCACATCCAGGAGAAAGGCCCAAAGAAAACAAAAAGTAAAGAAAATAACACAGCAGAGTCAAGGTGCACTATTTATTTCAAACTTGTTGAAATAAATAGTCTAAGCCACAAACCTGAAATAAATAATCCTGACTTTAATGGTTCAAAAACAAACCAAAGCAAAAAAAACTGAACTCCTCAGGCAAAAACCAAAGCATTTTTGAAAAAGACATGACTGTGTTTGTTCTCCACATCGCCTGGCTGCTTTTCATCTTTAATTACGTATATACAGTATCGAAAAATATTTTTCTAATTTTGCAGATGTACTGTGATAACTATATAATAAATCTTTAAAAAAAAAATTTTACAGAATAGACTTTTGGCCATGGGGCCATTCATCAGAGCCCTCATGTAGTTTTAATAGAAATATTTGTTCATGTTTTTTTTTTTTACGTTTTTAATACTTTTTGTAAACTAGGTTTCCGTTCAGCACAGACAGAAATGATCATTTAGAGACAAATTTTAACATAAAATGTCACAACTGTGGTGGCGATGTGAGAAATAATAACTATAACTGTCACTGATGTTGTTTCTGCCACTGAAATCAAGGTTTAAATATTAAAATTATAAATATTAGAGCTTCTTGTCAGGAGATTTCAACTATCATTTCAGGGGTTTTTTTTAAATAATATTTGATTTTAAAAAGAACCTCATCATCTTCTGTGGCCTCGTATATGTTGTTCAATGATGAGTCTGTATTTCATCATAACATCTTATTGTGCCATATTTGTAATAACTGTGAGTGTAATGGGTTTTTCTTGGCAGAAACAAACAGTTCTCTGTGAAGACAGCTCAGCTCATGCAGTGTGAAAACAGAAAACAGAGCCATGGTGTTGAACAAACAGAGGTTTCATCCTTTTTAATACATGCACGCACTGTTTTTCCACCAGATTCCCAGCAGAGGGCAAACCAATCCTGCTCTGTCTCTTTGTTTTTGGTTAGTGGCTAAGCAGCAGCTCGTCCTCCCAGTGAGTAAAGTGAGCGAACCGCGAGCTGGGACCAGTCACGTGTCTAACAGTGTCTGAGTTTGAGGGTGAATGGAGGGGGAGGGGGACGGGGGGTAGTTACCCTGGATTCTTGGGTTCACTGTCTCGAGATGATGATCCTCCTCCTTTCAGTTTCCTCACCAGTTTCTCGCTGCTACGACGGATGGAGGCGCGCAGCTTACTGAAGGAACCGCTTCTCTTCAGAGAACCAGAACCGTCCTGAGGAGAGACCGTGCAGGGTCAGGCACAGGGTTTACAGACCCACACACACAGGGGCTGTGGACGTACATAAACGAATCAACAGGCAGAGGACCGAGCTGCAGAGACGTCAGAGAAAATTCACACGAATTGAACTTCTGTGAACAGCAACGTCTGAGGGAGCTAACAGATGTTTGAAATAATATAAATATTTAATATCTCATTGTTTGTCTTACGTTTTAGATGCCTGTGCTTATTTCTCTGTAAAATCCCATTTTAAAAGTTTAAACCTGACTTGTCTTTAGCCAACATTAGCCTTTTCTGGGTTTATTTCGACCCTTTTTTTCCCGCTTTAGCCAGGACCAGTGCTGTGCTAGTGTTCAGACGTCAGGCCACGCCCACCTGTCAGTTAACGTGTGAATGTCTCTTTAAATCTGCAGTGAAACATGACTAATGCTACAGTCCAGTCAGAGGACACCGTCCACACGTCTGTACAAGGCAAACACAAAGATGCATGTCCACACTCACTGACCAGCATAGAGGGTGTACAAGATTTAAAAAAAGAAAAAGCTGACGTTTGAATTAATAAAACGGCTGTTATAATAATTATAATAATGTAGCTAACTGCTATATATGTGTTCTGGTAATTCAACAATGGTCAACCATGCTGTCTGGTTTGGATATAGTTGGAGGTCCATGGCCAAAGCTTTGGAAATGGCTGATAACAAATGTTTGAAAATGTAATAAAAACTACACTAGAAATCACCTGTTGGTGATTCCAGTGTGTGTATGAAATGTTTCCTTTGTGTGTTTGTGTATGTGTGTGAAAGAGTCAGCTTGTTTGTGTCTTATACACAAAGTTCAAACTTCAATCAGTGACTACTGTACATTTAAACCCAAACAGATCAACTGTGTCTCTCCTTCATGTCACATGACATGGAACTACTGCAGTGAACACAGAGAACAGAACCAATGAAGCTGAGAACTGACACAAGCAACAGACCATGACAATCATCCACGACTTATGAACAGACACACACACAAAGAGTAAAGGACACACAGAGAAGCTCCAGCCTTGGGTTGAGGTGGGTTAAGTTGAGATTTTTATTAGAAGTTCAGAAAAAAACAAGGACGCAGGAACAGGAACACAAACACACACAGACTGGATTAGTAAAAGAAGAAGAAGACGAAGCAGAAAGAGGAGACATCTTTGTTCCCACCCGTCCCTGACCTCCCACCACCCAAATATCACCCCGGTACCCCAGCATCACATGTATGTACAGATCAACAGGAGGTGGAGAGACTGAGACTCCACTCCCTCACAGACAGAGTTCAACTTCAGATCCTGACGTCACTAATAACTACTCAGACACACACACACACACACACACAGACAACTCTACATATGTTTGTGTTTCCTCAGCTATTCATCAGAACAACGACACCTATCTGTGACACCTCAGTTTCTGTGATGTGTTTTTACAATGTGCTGAGTCATGAGAAGATGTCAACAATGACCTGCGGTGGATCACAAACAACTACACAGAAAAATGTCAGACCTAATTTTGACAAAGACAGAGAGGAGACAGGAAGTGCAGTTTTGTCCATGTTCTGTTCTCTGCAGGTGATTTTCATCATCATCAGTGTTTTCTCATAACCGCGTGTGGGATTTGATTAGATCATTGGGGGAAGTGGGGGGTATGTTAACGCTTGACCTTCAAACCCAAAACCTTCTCTGAACCAAAGCAGTGAGAGAAAGAACATCATCAGAACCAGAGGAGAAACAGGAGGAGCTGCAGGTGAAAACTGCAAAAAGCCAAAGCTGGAAGTTTGAGGGGGAGACGAGGAGCAGCGTCCATCATGCAAAAGATTGTTTCTTTTGTTTTGTTTTTTTATTTTCTACGAGCATTAGAAGACATCTGGAGTTACTGTGGTCAGCAGAGGGCAGCAGGTAGAGAAGAAATGACAGGAGTGAGAAAAAAGGAAAAAACAGGTGAGCGGGATTAGTAACAGAGATTACTGAGAAGCAGAAGTCAGAGATTCTAACCAGATTAAACTGGTCAGACACAGCAGTTTCTCCAGCAGCTGACAACAACTAAAAACTATCCTTGTTTTTACCGCAGCGGCAGGTTCACAATTTCATCCACAAGGTGGAGCTGTTGCACAAGTTACTGTGCTGGAGAAAAGCTTGGTCTGAATTGTCACTGAAACGTAAACATGTTTATCAGACACTGAAGACAAGCAAAGCACGTGACAGCAGCCTATATATATATATATATACAGTATATATATATATAACTAACACTGATCAATCGACAGTGTTCGTTTCCAGAAAACCCTAGTTTGTGATTTTTAGAAGAGAAGACAGTGGAGTCACTGACAACAATTAAAAACTATTTGAAATTGAATGAAATTCTAAAACATGATTTCCATCTTCCATATTTTCTCACAAATAAATACTGAAGTACTGCAGAGCCTGAGTAAAAGTATTATTTCAGATAATTAGTGAGTGAGTGACCGACAGTATAGTTGTGTTTATTTGTATTATTAATGTCAGTGTTGTACACCAGAAATATTTTCCCTCAGTCAGTGATTTGTCTGTGGCTGCTGTCACTTTAATGAGGTTAAGAAAAGACAAATATATATATTTATATAAAACGCTTCAACCAAAAGAGCAAAGGTCAAATTCCCACACAACCAAACAAAGTACACACACACATGCACGCATGCATACAGTACATGCAAAAGAGATACTGTAGATACACACACACGCTCATACAGTACATACAGAGTACACAGAGGTGCAGATCACAATCACCAGTAGTCCAATAGTACAGTACAGTACAGTAAAATAAAGTACAGTACAGTGCCCATGTAGAGTTAGAGGAAAAACTGCTGCTGACCTCTGGATGTCTTAACTATGGTCTGTCTGTGGACTGTGTGTCTGTCTGTGGTCTGTGTGTGTGTGTAGAGTGGACATTGTGGATGTAGCTGCAGAGGAAACAGCCTCTAGATCACATATCACTTTGAGCTTCTTTAAGGACCACAAAGGTAAAGACTGGAGGGAGGTCATTGACCCTGAGCTGAGCTAACAGTGGATCACACTGTGATCTAAGCCTGTGTTTACTGAACTATCTCAGTGTCACTCCACTGCAGATGGGATTTCCTTCAGGACAATAACATTAATAACAATAATAAAGCTGAAATCAATGCTTCTGAATAATTGATGTCTAAACAACAGTGTGTGTTTCCAGCTGCAGCTGATTCCACGGCAGACGGACCAGAGAAACAAACAGGTCCAGAGATCAGCTGCTGATGTGGCTCTGTGGTTTTTAATAAACACTAATATTACTGTGTGTATGTGTGTGTATAAGAGAGAGATAGAGAGAGTGTGTGTGTGTGTGTGTAACAGCACACCTCCCACAGATACGGCAACGGTCAGAGCAGCTGACTGCTGATTGGTTGTTCAGTGAGCTACACTTGACTACTGTTTCTATGTGAGCTCAGAGCCCAGGCAGCAGACTCTGAGGTAGAAGTGAGTGAACGATTATGGTGAGGATGAGTAGAAGAAGAAAAGAGAGACAGACACAGAGAGAGAGAGACACTAAGACTGTGTGAGTTTCAGTTCAGTCCAGGCTGAGATGTTTGATGAGGAGTGAGAGGGAGTGATGAAGAAGAACCAATACAAACTGAGCTCAGAGACTAAAGACTACAGAAGAAGGAAGCTTGTTTTGTATTACAGCTACAGGTTTAAAGACAACTGAAGCTTTGGAGTCCACACATTTAAAGGGATAGTTCAGGTTTTATGCATTACTGACACCATGGTTTTATGGGAAACACTGAGAACTACTGTGAGAAGCAGAACCTAAGCAGTACATTGGGACTTTTTGTTTACGGTACAAATAACACAGTTTACTTCATAAGGCAAAGCTAGTACAGAGACTGAGGGAAAGGACCATGAACCATGTTGTTTCACCACAGAAAACTGTACCAGGAACCAGGTACTTCAACAACAGTACCGCAAACTATGTGTATTTTCACTGCAGAAAATGGGAAACAAATCACAGCACTTTTAACAGTTGGGACAAACCTGGACTATCCCTTTAAATGTATGCAGCTGTTTTTCACAAACACCTGTTGTTCAGGGTGAAGTCGAAGTGACACACTTCTGTTGGGAGAGTGGAGTAACTGGACCAGTCAATCAGCATCAGTGGAAACAAAGGATTCTTTAATGAGTGTGGAGAGATTTATACTGAGATGTGATGAGAGAATTAACAAAAGCAACTAATTTAAATGAAAGTAAAGGCTGAACTCTCTGAACAGAAGACACTGATCGAACCATCCACTTTCACTTTGACTCACTGGACAACTGCCTTTTCAAATTGGAAACTAGGAATCTGTGAATTCATCTCCAGGAGAAACAGGAGCTGCCGGTCCACTGCTGCCTCCTGTGGTCAGTTTGTGTCACTGGAATTTAATAACACATTTGAACTGAGTGATGGTGGCAGCAGTAGATGAACATCTGCTGTGTCTCTGTGAATTCAAATCAATGATTTTCTCTATGGACTTTGGTGAGCTAAAAAGATCGATTTTCAAAATGACAATGTTGATTCGGACGTGTCTGCTGTCCAGAAAGATCTAGGTGTTGAGTGTGTGTGGAGGAAGCCAGGTAGTGTGTGTTTCTGTTATGGGCTTTGTACTGTACTCACCCCGTTCCACTCGACGCTCATACTCACTTCCTCTCCACCGTCAGGTCCGCTCTCGTACTTCACCGTGTCAGAGGTCAAACTCTCGCGGCTGCGCTGCTTTTCACGGTTCTCAGGTTCACTCAGGACCTCTGCCACGCGCTGCTTGTGCACGTTGTCCAGACCCTAAGGAACACAAGGGCAAGACATTATGAGCTAAACTCAAAATAACAAATACGTTTTGGGCTACCTTTAGACTCTTAGCTATGTAGGTGACTTGGCTACAGCACACACACAGAACAGACCTGTTTTCTGGAGCGCATGGCTGCTTCCTCCAGAGTCTCTGCAGCCTCAAATTTACCCTGCCGCCTGTAGAGGGCGCCCAGGTTTTTCAGAGTGGTGGTCACTGTTGGACTGTAAGAGCAAGGTGGTAGAAAATGTCATAATTACATTCAGGTGTAATCAAGCGACACTGAAAAGGTTGACAACGTAAATGTAAAAGTCAGGACGGAAACCAAAGATTTTTTATAGATTTTATTTTATTTTTTGTTTAATTAATTATTATTTAGCAGATACCACCACGCATTTGCAGATAATAATTGCTTTATCCCTGCTGTTAGCCAGCATCTCAACACTGTAGCTAATAGAATAAAACATTTTCTACACAAACTCTCTCACCTGTCGACTTTACAGGCCTTGTACCAGCCTCCATATTCTCCAAACGGAGAACCATCCTTCTGTTTTCCCTGAAGAGACAAAACTCATGCTCATCAGTGTTGAAAAATGTGGAGACGTCAAGACAATTTCACACCAAGGTTCTTCCTACAACCATCAAAGAGAGGATTCTAGCTGATCTGGTTAAACTGTGGAGAAATGACAAGTCAGACATTGACGCTCATCACCCAGACCTGGTCTGTTAATCTTTATTCTGTCAATCCCTGCTTTTCCTGCTGGAACAGGATCATCAAACTGTCAGAGCAGATTTTTACAGCCGTAAGGAACTTTTACAACCTTTAATAAGGTGTGGTAATGAAGTCATTACAAGACTTTAACTGCAGAGAAATCACTTCTGACATTAGACTAAAGAAACAACCTCACCTTGCTCTGCTCCTCCCTCTCTTCAGCGTGCATCCAGATGGGTTTGTTCTCATCTGAAATTCATTTCAATCATGAAATTAAAAACACAAATGATGCAGATGTAATGTCTCTGACTATGATTCCAAAATGTATCTAAAATTTAAGAACAATCATAAATATGCTGTATAGTCAGGGGACGTGTGAAAGCTAAAAACTGGACTGAACTGGAAGGGAGTCCAACACCAGAACACGAGAACAGCAGGGATTCAGGAGGAGAGATGTATGAAATTTGGTTTGTTTGAGTTACAGTCATTTAATCTGCCTGAGATAATGACTGCACTGTTCAAAGTGTGTGTTTGTATGTGTGTGTGTGTGTGTGTGCGTCTGTCGTACCATCCACGGAGCCAAACTCCCTCTCATGAGCTCGGGTGAGGATTTCTTTATAAAGTGTCTCAGCCTGCTTGAACTTGCTCTGCTTCAGGTAACAGGATGCCTTCAAAACAAACACAGTGACACACACACACACACACACACACACACACACGTTACACATTCAGTGACTGAATGGAAACAAAAAAAACAATTTACTAAAAATAAAATGGAATCAAACAATACTGATGTACATTGAAGGCTGAGTCTGTTAGTCTAACATTCAGGATTCATATTGGTGTGTTATTGGTCCAAATCCAAACAACTAATAACTAATAACTAATCCAGGTTGTGGTGCCAGTAGCAGACATGAAAAGGGTGTATGGAGCCATCCTTAGTTAGAACGTCAGATGAAAAAAAAACATGATTTGATTAAAGCTTTGAATATTGTTGGAGTCAAAACAGCAGAGACAAAGAAGTCCATTCATATCAATGTTCTGGATCCAGTGTCAGGAAAAAGAAGTCCTTCCTGGTTCCAGAACTGTCATTTAACTGAACAGTTAACTAACACTCCAACCTCCACTGCCCCCTCACCAGGTTGTTCTTGGTCTTGGCCACGTTGGGGTCATCGGGGCCCAGTTTGGTCTGGTAGATCTCCAGTGCCCTCATGTAGTAATACTCCACCTCCTCGTACTTGCCCTGGTTCTGACACAGCAGAGCCAGGTTGTTCAGCTGTTTGGCCACATCAGGGTGGTCCTTCCCCAGAACCTGGGTGACAAATGAGGAGGCGGGGGTTACAACAATCAGAACACGTCAGATGTTTACCATTTGGTTGGTGAATCTTGTAAAGAGACCAGAGTAAAGCCAGGTGGCGCTCCATCAGGCTACGTTCACACCTGCTTGAAAATCATGATTAGATCACGGAAACACCTACGATGTCTTTGTGAGTGACTGATCAGAGGAGCAGGTTTTTGTTGTTGGTCTGAAAAACAAACCCTGTAACTCCACTTTTACCATTTTGTGGAACGTTAACAAAGAAAGTGTTAAATAACCAAGAACATGAATGAAGGTTACATACTAGATAGCTTTACATTTATAATGAGACATAATGTCTCACCAGGGATCATAATTGATTAAATTTAGTTTTTTAAGTTGCATTTGCTCGTTAAAATAATTAAAACATTTATGGATAAGACAAACAAAACAAAACCATATATATCTTACACAGAAGTGCTTTTGTATCTCTGCGACAGGTGATTTTTTTAACACTTAAATATAAACAGTAATTTTACAGCTAAACATGATCATTTCAGTCCATCATCCCTCTCTCTGTCCCTCTATCTCTCAGCTGCCTGTATTTAGTAGAAGCTGAGATATTGGTGCAGCTCAGACTAAAACCTTCAGGTTCTGCAGCTCTGCCTCATTTCTCTGTCATCAGCAGCTTTAAGTGGCAGCTTTTTAACTTAAATCCAGGGAATTATTAACTATAAACATTCAGCTGAGGGTAAAGGATGACATCTCCTTCTCTGAAAGTGAAGTAAAGGAGGATGAGGAGAAGGAGGAAGAGGGGGAGGAGTTTGATTTATTCAAAGCTGTGAGGTGAGACGGAGCAGTGAAGATAAAGCGTCTCCAGCTCCTTCACGGATGATCAGCAGCATCTTCATCACTGGCTGAAGCAGCGGAGATTGAAGAATCTGAGGCTGAGCTCTGGATGTTTCTTATGGAAGAAGAAAACTCTGACTGTCATATGACCCTCAGTATTACCCATCATTACAGGTATTTACACCATTCCCTGGTAAACTAACTCATGGTTTTGCTGAATAAAAAAAAGAAATGTCCCTTTTTTGTATTGGTAGTCGTTGCAGTGTGTCAGGTTTTCTGATCTACCTTCTCTCTGATCTCCAGCGCCCTCTTACACAGAGGCTCTGCTTCCTTGTACTTCCCTCTCTTCCCGTACAGCACAGCCAGGTTGTTGAGGGTGGCGGCCACCTGAAGGACACGATAAAAACACTTTACAGAACAAAAAAATTCACTTCTTCCATAAGCCTTACTTTTACAACTCATTTTCACCCATGTGTGCAACATGTGCAATGATTGTGCAACCAAAGTCTCAGCCCCGTGACAGCGGGATGACACCGTTGATCTGGTGAGTGAGGGAGTGAATCATTAAAAAAAAAAAAAGTGTGGTGATTAATCGTGTCTGGTAATTTGATCCAAATCGTCTGTGTGGTGAGGAATCCTCAACATGTGCAGAAAAGAGATTGTGGAGGTGTCTTGAGGTCACCTCAGATCTCCGATGCAGACCAAGATCTGGTCGCCATGTGGACCCCAGTGGGAGGAAGAACAAGAAAGAAAGGAGAATGAGGAGGAGAGGAATCCAGACAGGAAGATGAAGAGGTGGAGAGAAGTGACAGAGGAGAAAAAGAACGACGTAAGGAACTGTCTTTGGTTTTTCTTGTATAATCTATTCCTTTCTGGTGTATATATATTCCTTTCTGGTATATATATATATAGAGAGAGATTTCTGCTGAAGATCAAATGACTTCCTGATGGAGAAGAAAGATCGGAGTCTGGTGTCAGGATGGAAGGGTGAGAGGGAGGAGGTGGGAGGTGAAGAATGTGGAGGTCTAACCTCAGTTTGACAAAGTGGATCAGGATGTTGGTCCAGACGGTGGAGACCTGAACCTGCTGGGGTTCAAGCAGTGGGAGAGGCTGCTGTGTGTTTACAGTCATGTTGATGAACACAGGTCAATGCAGCTTCAGTTATTCATCACTGTCACCCTGAACCTCTCGTCACAGACCTCTGATTCAGGCAGCGGGACTGAAGCAGTTTTTGTTTGCTGGGCAACTACTCTAACTTTAAAATGTGAATGGTTGCAAAAATAAAAATTAATTAAAATTGCAGTTTTATGTAAAAAATTAAAAAAACAAAAGCATAAAAATATTTGTTCGGTAAATAACGCAAATAAATAAATACTTTTTTAAGGTGATTTGCTGTCATCAACAATGTGTACTAAGTGCATTAAGGTAATTGAAAGTACTATGGTGAATAAATACTTTTACTTCTCTGTGGTAATAAACAACTTTGGTTCTGTCAATTTCGGCGTCTGGAAGTGATTTCTAATAAAAATGTTCGTGTAAGAGCTGAGTTCCTTTCTCCAGGTTACTGTTCATGTGAGAGCTGCAGCAGTTTTAGCCTCACTCCCCAAGTTTTTTTACTTCGTACTGATCAACAAGCCTGCCTGTGACCCAGGGTTTTTTCAAAATAATAATAATAGAGATAATAAAATACAGTGATTAATGATAAAATAATTGTTAATTACTGTGTTGACATGCGACTGCCTAATCCTTTCTCATTAGAAAAATTGTTAAAATATGACACTGTATGGAACTTCATCATAGTCTGAAATATTACAGTAGAGACTCAAAGGTTTGACTCTCAACCCGTGGTTCTGTGATTGGAGATTGATGGTTTAAATAATGCTGTAACTGTGGTGTAACTGAGGTGAAGGTGGACTCACAGCAGGATGGTCTCTGCCCAGAGTCTTCTCCCTGATGGCCAGGGCATCATTCAGAAGATTGGCTGCCTCCTTGTATTTGTTCTGATCCCTAAGGAACAGGAACAGAGAAACAGGCAGCTTCAGTAGAGTCAGTTCCACATGAAGAGAAGGACAGATGTAGCAGACAAAAAAAAGAGACTCAAATATGTCAACAACCTTCACTTCGAAGACAAAAAAAAGAAACTCAAATATGTCAACAACCTTCACTTCCAGCATGTTATTTTCAGGTGATGAGGTGGAAACAGTCGTAGAGAAGTTCCCACAGTCTCAGGTCGACACTGAGTCGGGCCTGAACTCTCATTCTTACAGGGGAATTCAATTGAAAGCACGAAATGACTCTTTAATGGATAAGTAGGGGGGAAAGAATGGGGCGACGAGCCTGGAAAATTCCTGTGTCCAGTGTCATTCTTTTCATTTCTTTTCATTGCCGAGGAAATTAACAGCGGCCCAGTGTGACTTACTGTACTGTAAATCTGCCTTCGTGTTTGCCTTGCTGACTTCTGACACATGAAAAGGAATGCAGCCCTGGTTCACAGGCTGGGAGGGGTGAGGGGGTGACAACAGTATACATAGGACAGATTTCTGTTGGTTCTGAAGAGGTTTGAACGGCACCACAGCAGCTCCAAGGTTATTCACATTCTTTTCACTGGTATCTGATGAACAGTAATGATCTCAGGCAGTGGCTCAGCATTCATGTCTGAGCAGCACACTCCATCCTGAGAGCTCGGAAGGCATAAAACAGTCAGAGGGCTCTGAGACCTCAGGGATTTAAAACAGTGTGAGCTCAGTAAGAAAAGCACTTCCACACTGTTAATGTTGCATCCTAAATTAATTACAGCTTTTAATATTCACTGATGCACTTACCGAGGCTGCATGCTTTCTTAGCTGGCTGAACATCTTACCCACATCAGCAGGTTCTAACGAGTTCTTTGGAGACTTTCAGTGATTTGAAACCCTTTGTCTGGATTTACATCAGTGAGAACAGCAGCCTCGGACAAACAAGGTCTCTCTCTCATTTTCTTCTTTGTAAAGAGTTTACAGACTTTAGCTTCATGCTAACCTGTTATCCAGCCAGATTAGAGACAAATGCAACAGATATGACCAGAATGGAAACTGCTCTACTATATTATACTCGTTTCAATATACTATGTATGACAGACACAGCTCAATGGGGCTGTATTGTAATGTTACATTTGTATTGAACTGTTTGGTACAGGATGGTACAAATACACACATGTACTGTACCAAACATATATACACATCACATGATATATTCACACTCAGGAGACTCGGGTCTTTATTTTTAGGCCCACCTGTAAACCAGGGCCAGGATGTTCAGCATGGTGGCCACGTCTGGGTGGTCGTGTCCAGAGGTCTTCTCCAGGTCCTCCAGGGCCTGCTTACACAGAGGCACGGCCACCTCGTACCTGCCCTGGGAGGCGTACTGGATCACCAGGTTGTGGAGCGTCCTGAGGCGGGCCGGGATCTCATAACCTCCCTGCTGAGCCGCCGCAGCTGCAGCACTACCATGAGCTGGCTGCACTGGAGAGCCCACGGAGGGAAAAGCAAGACGGTTAATAAAGTGGTCTCTGACCGGGATTCAACAGATACAATAATGAAGCACAATTCTACCAGAACCCAGTGAGTTTCAATGGAACTAGAACAAGAAGAAAAAAAAGTTCTCTCTGTTCCTTTGGCTTCATCTGACAAACAGATGTAAAATAATCTGAGTGTGAAGATACAGCTCAAATACACAAAGAGAGTTATGTAGTGACAGGAAGGAGAATGTCCTGGTTCTGCTGTGGTATATTTAACAGGGTCATGAGAACATTAGCAGGAACATCTCATGTCTGTTCATCTGCCCCTCAGGTTTTGAATCTGTGTAAGAATGTGTGTCACTGTTAAAGAGTGTGTGATCAGAAAACCCCCAAGTGTTTCAGACCAAAGAAGAGTCGATGCTATTTTTACTCTGAACCACAGCACAAGTGACATTTTTAGTATCTTGAGGGGGTGGAGGTGGAGGTGGGGGTGACACTCTGTTTTTTTGTTTTCCCAGTTATAGTTTGACTGCAGTCACTTTAAACCAGCCGACCTGTTAAATCTGACCAGAGATTGGATTCCAAAATAAACATCAATTCTTATGTAAGACAAATAAATGTGATTTTTATTTGAGTGTCCGGCCCCCAAGTTGTCCAAAGTCTGTCCAGAAAATGCTGGCCCTCTGACAAGTATAGGTCATGACCCCTGGCTTACTGTCACAGGACTGACTTCACCACACAGGACAAGGTTCTATCAACTCAATGGTGTTTAAATCATGATGCAGTGTTGAACTCTGCAGTGACATCCTTCCACTCCGAAATATGCTTCCAGCCCCCCCCTCCCCACCGCCCCACCCTCCCAACACACACGACCCCCTTTCTCCCCCCCACTGTCTTCTCTCTCTCCCAGTGCGAGTTCCAGCAAACCGTCCAGTCATAATTCATTTAGCATCGGTTTATTTAACACCTCGGTAGAGTCTGCACCACTTCTGCTGCACAGAAACTGAGAGACCACAGTATGGATCAAGATGAATGAAACCTTCAAACTGAACTCACCATTATCAAGTCTGGATAAAACAGTAAAACAAACCAACAAAACACTAGGAGGAAACACCAACAAACTGACACTAGATTCACAGACACTGATGTTAAAACTATAGACTTTAAATATAACAGAGCTTATTGTTATACTCTACAATTAACTCTCATCAGATTTGTATGGTTTCTTCATTAGACTCCTGGTACTTTTAGCTAAAACACTCAGAACCTAATATGAACCAGGAATGTAGAGATGAAAGGAAGACAACACTGATTTGCTGGTACTTTTTTACACTTCATGCTTCACTGAGTATTGAGGCCAGTGGGTCAGTGTGTGTATGTGAGACGGATGATTCAACACCGAACGTGTGTGTTTTATGAACATTAAATAACAACCTTTTGTTGGTTAACCGATTTGGACATTTTTGTTTTAATTCAGAATTCATTTTAAATCATTGACTTCTTCAAAATAACTCTTGTGTTATTGTGTGAAACAAATGTGTTTTTTTTCTTCTACTTGTCCTCCCTCCAGGCTACAGTTGGTTTTGACAAATTAATCTTATGGGGAACACAGCTTTATTTTCTATTCTTCTGTTCAAGTGATGTAGGGGTGTGCGTGTGTGTTTGTGAATCTATGCAACAAAATAAGAGAGATATCAGATTATTCATCAGATTAACCTTTAAGAGATTAACCCGATTGTAGAATAGAAACAAATATATGCCGTTGCTTTGGTAATATTGTCCACTCATTTGTCATTCTATAAACAAAACCTGCACAATTAATTATATCAATAAAATAAAATGTGAAAGTATATTGATACATCTTAAGAACTGCATGTGTGGTCCCCAGAGAAGAAGAAGAAGACTCACTGCCTGGAGCTTGTTCATCATGGTCGTCAGGAAAGAGATCATCCAGAGTCTCTTTGCTGGAGTCGGAGTCTTTCTCCTCCTGAAGCAGGACAAAAAGTGAGGAACAGACATGAACCTCCACAAACAAAACTTAGAAACCATTCACACGAAGCAGCAGCCCACAAACAGGAAGGAACAGTTCTTAGAAACCATTCACACGAAGCAGCAGGTCACTGTTATGTAGGAGAGCAGAGATGTTTCTCCACATCATGCTTCAAAACATTTATGTGAAACTCAAGCAAATGCCAGACAAACACGGCCCAGAATAATAACCTCAGTGGTATTGGTACTTCAAAAAAAAAGTGCGAATTCCCATAATGCTTTATGGTTTGTTAGAAATGTTGCACCATGAGTTAGGATGGTAGCTTTGTTTTTTGGCATTCATGTGAAAAATGCCATATAATGTGTAATAAAAGGGCAGAGAGTTTGAAGCTGAACATTTAGTTTGAAAAAAAAAATCTTATTTTTTTCACATCTGTTTCTGACCAACACACCCTAAACATGTATCTCTGATTCTACAAACTATCTGATGGGCCCAACTTCTTGCCTCTAAATGTACTGGCTCCTGGTTCTGATGATGTAAATTTGGTATTTTAGGATATATGCATAAAAAGTCACATTTGCTGTGATTTCCAGTGGGATAAAACTTGAGTCTGAAGCCCTGGACATAAAGTTCCAGAGCATCAAAACTTTCTGGAATTTAAATCATCTGCTTTGGAGGAGTCGCCCTGTGAGTCACATTCACAAAACTCTTGTGTAAAGAAAATCTTTACATTTTAGAAAATCCACAAACTGAACGTTTATTCCAAACAGCGTGTTTGAGGAGTGAGGAAACCCACAGACATGTTTCTGAATGTCACCACATGAAGAGGTTTGGAGAAAGTAAATCCTGGGTCTGCACAAAACAAAAGGAATTTCAGAGGTTTCTCATCGTTCTGACTGTGACTGGGTCTCATTAAAGCTGAGCGTATTTCATTTGTTTGTTTGTTTAAACGTGTCTGAACAAACTCTCTCCCTTTGTGTTCCTATCCTACTACTTTGCTGACTCCACAAACAAACCCTTCTGTTTCACTTTGATCACGTGTCTCCTTTAACACCGCAATTGTGTGCAGACAGAGTAACCACTGGAGTATTCCCTCTGGGCTAATGTTGTATTAATACAGATGATTTATACTCCAGGTTTCTGATACTCAGACAATCCAGGTGTAGTTTTACCTTGACATGTTTTGACAGTGAGCTCCCGTCTATAACAACCAGCTGTGTTCCATTTTAGGGATACAATATACAAACAATAGGAGGGTTTCGCCACAGAAGAACTATCATCTGTTATCATGAGTGTGTTTTACTAAATGAAAGACCTGGAGGCTAAAGCCATCACCTCAGCACCAGAACATTGTGGACCAACAATGTGGAAAAGATACACAGAAGAAACAGTGGAAAAAGTGGAGAACTGACACACACAAGCACTCAGGGGTCATCGTAATACAATAGACCAATGAGAAAGAAACTGGAAAGTCTATCACTTTTTGGAATTAAAAATGACGACGAGGAAAAATCCACAGGAAACCAACCCACACTCAGTACCTGTTATGTTCAACAGAAAACTCTACTGTTTTCTACATAAACTATAACATAAACTATCTATAGTCCAAACTAGGAGTGGCTCCATCCAATACTCAGGATCAATATCAGTCTACTACAGGTCAAAATTTGAGGAACAAATATAAAATAAAATAAAAACTAGAGCCAGTCCAATCCGATAACTTAACTTTGCATAACCTGTCGTAAACAGGACTACTATTGTTTCAGCCTGTGGCCTGCTGGAGGAGAAAACATAGGTATAGATTGATATCAGTATCAGCAGATACTCTGAGTTGCAGTATCAGTATCAAGTCATCTCACAAGTCCACCAAACTACTATCATACAAGAGAAATCTGATCAACCAGAAGAACAGCACACCAAAAAAAGCACTCACGAGGTGTCAATACCCACAAAAGGTAACAGAGAAGGGCAAACAACAGGTTAAAAATAAAGATACTACCACAACAAAGGAAAGACAAAAGACAAGGACGTAGAACAACACACCATACATTAGAGGGACGCCCAGAACGCACAGAGAGATCAATGAGAAAATATCAGATCACCACACCGGTCAAACTCAACTCAGACCATTGCTTGTACATCCTAGATAATTTCAACATTTTCCTCAGTGTGGGGTAGAGACAGGTTATAACAGAAGACCAAACAGGACAAAGGCAAAATGATCACGTGACCATAAACGCTAGCTACGAGAAGCCAAAGACAGACGATAATCATACGTCATGATGACATGGAGTGACACCTCTAAGGAAGACGTTAGCTCCAAACATTTCCTGGTAAAAACTGCTGGACTGTCTGACTGTATGAAACATGGAGTATAAATGACCACTGAAGTTCCTCCTCCATGTTGTTCATCTTCTCCTGACTGAGAGGACCCAGGTCCAGCTCAGAGGGACGTGGACAGGGACAAGCTCGTACTCTATACGTCATGGTCAGACTCACGGAGGGCGACAGGTCCTCGTCGTACTTCTTCAGCTGGTTCATGAACTCCAGGTGCTTCTTCTCTTCCTCCAGCTGGGCCACGCTCTGCTCACTCTTCTGCAGTTTCTGCTGCGTCCCAGCCAGCTCGTCCCTCAGCCACTGGTTCTCCTGGCACAGACGGCGGACCTGAGAACGCAGTTTCTGCTTCTCGGACTCCACAGAACTCAGGTGGCTTGACAGTGCCATCATCACCTGAGAACAAGGAGATGCTGAAGGTCAAGAACTTCTCACTGAAGGCCCTTTGATGGTTAGTTTTCTCTATCTGTACAACAGACATTTCCTCCCTGTCAGAACTGAGCTCCTACCTGAGCCTCACTTAACCCGAGGTCCAGCATTTCCAGGGACTTGCGGATCATGTGAGACTTCTCCTCCACCAGGACACCCTCCTCCTCCTGCTTCAGGCAGCGCAGCGTCCCCAGCAGGCCGTCCAGGATGGAGTGATGCTCCTGTTTCAGGGCCTCCAGGCCCTGGATCACCTGCTTGGTCCTGCAGATGATTTCATCCTGGGACAGTTTCTCCCCGGGGTCCTCCTCCTCCTTCACACACACCATGGTGGACATGTCCTCACGCATCCTGTGGGAATCACAGGAGAAAGACAAAGTGTTCAGTTCAGGGTGTTATCACTGCCTTTTCTTACTGCATCCTGACACTTTCTGTGCTTTGTATTCACACACACACACAGCATACACACACATCATACACACACATCATACACACAGTTAAGAGGATTATGACTGAATGCACTTGGGCAGCACTTGCAGTGAGCTGCCTAATAATCTGTGTGTGTACATCAGAGGAACCCCAAATGGCTTCCCAACTTAACCACCAGCTCAACTAAATGATGTTACTGTCATGTCATATTTCCATGAAATTGTCAATCTTAAAATCGACTGGATAAGATGACACCTTTCACACTCAAGTACGGTTTCAACATTGTGGCAAAAAGACTCTGTCCAAAGCAAGGATCGCTCCGGGCAGGAAACAGGAGACAGATCTGCAGCTGAGAGCTTTGGCTTCATGTGACTCAGCAACCAGCAGCCCAACAGCCAATCAGCTGAGAGCACAGCAGGAAGCTGAGGCTGTGAGGAGCCGCAGGTTAATGAGCAGAAATAAACCCAGCCGACAACAAGATAAGACAATGCTGAAAAATTCTAGGCATTGTTCTATTAGCTAACGGTGGGTTCTAATGATTGTGTTCATCAGGTGACTGTTCAATAACAAGAAAGAATCTAAAATCTGAATCCGCAACAGCTTAGTTTTCCTGCACAATCTCCCTCTGCAGACCACAGAGAAGTGAAAGTGATTCTTTCTTCCTGTTTTGATCCAACAGCCTGTTTATTTTTGGCAGCAGATGATCCCAGTGCAGAGACTCAGCACAGGGAACTGCAGAGGAAACTCGTTTTTGATGCTCACGTTTGAAATGTAAATAGCTGTCTTCAGGGCTGAGCACTGAGGAGGGGGGGCTCTGCTGCAGCTCTGCATGTAAACAGGTTTCAGCAGCAGAGGTTCAGGCATCGGAGATAAACGTGGTGGTGTTTGTTAGAGAGAGCAGAGAGAGATAAGTGTGATCAGATCTCTGAGGATAATGATGATGAGGAGCAGTAACATCAGCATGTGACAACTGTTAGTCCGACGACAACAAGGCTGGCCGCCATTGACACATTTGAATAACAGAGGATGAGAATGTGACAGACAGACAGACAGAGAGTTTCAGGTTTTATTGTTTTGGGGTTTTTTTTTAATCATTAGCAAATGATCGTGAACCAACAGTCTGTTATTGTAGATAGGCAGAGTCTGTGGGGGGAGGAAACCCCATCTCCTGATGTTGCCAGGTGAAGCTGCTGTTTCTGCAGATCACAGCATTTTAAACAACACAGATTTCACTGATACATTTATACAATATATCCTGTTTGGTACTTCAGTATCTTTTACAACAATATGTTGAGTTTTTTAAGTAATTTAAACGAAGGGAAACTGTCAGCATAGTAAACACACAATGATGTTCCCTGCTTAACATCAGGTTCATAAAATCAGAACAGAGGGATCTACATTTTAATCACTGTAGAAGAAATATAAGCAATATAGAATCAACCAATGCCGTTAATATTTGCATGTTAACTGTTGACTTACAAAAAATCGATACAGTATTGTGAAACTAAATATACTTATATTTCATCATACCAATTTTTTCCTCAAACCCCTATTTGTATCATTACTTTTTTTGCATCTAAGATGTTTTTATTCTACAGGTTTCACTTCTGTTCCTTGTTGCTACAATACAACAATTTCCCCAGTGTGGGATCAATAAAGTTCAATTGAATCTAATCTAATACCAAGACAGTATAACACTGACGTCCTGTGATTGGAAACCTAACCATGCAGTTATAGGGCCACTATTTCTGACTATTTCTGGGCCAAAATGAAAGTTTCAGTACTTACTTCCGCCCTGCAGCGGAAAGGTTCTATTCCTGGCGTTGTATACTTTCTTCAGTGAAAATGAGCTTGACAAACAACAAAAACTTTAATAAACCTGGGACATTAAACCCAACACAACTGTAGCGTCAATTATTTTCCCTGCGGAAAATAAGGTCATTGCACAAAGCCTCTGGGACCTGGGAGCCAACAACACATTGTCCCAGAGGAGCAAGGTGTTGTTAACATGGGGGTGGAGCTCAGCAGGTTGTCAGGACAAGAGTTGTCCTCTAGGTGGATTAAACATTATATACTGTAGGGAAGGGCAAACAAAACAACCAAGACTCCACTGGTCGCCAGGCACTTCAGACTGAGTGGTTTCACACACAGGAGATCTGAGTTTGTTCACGGGCCCCAGGAACAACAGACTGGAGGTGCCCTACATCAATGTAGACCAACACCTATATCCCACCTAAACTGATGCCAAAGCACATACTATTAACAGCAACACTTGACAAGCTCACTGTTGTTGGCATTAGGTGTAAAGAAGTTTTCATTTCTATGGATAAAGCCTTTTCTAACATGGAATATGAGTGGAAACTCATAAAGGGACATGAACCAAAGATAGAGTTGGATTATCCAAAACTCCAAGATTAGACATAGTCTGGAAAGTTAGCCTTAGAAACCCTTGTTTCTTCTTTCTAAGTAGACAATTTCTTCTCAGGAGGCTTCTCGAGGTATTCTTCAGTACAAAGGTTGCGAGTGAAAGATGTAAAACAAACACTTTGTTTTGATAATGTTTTGCTCTTGATCACTCCCTCAGATGTTCTATATGTGTGAAAGAGATGTTGTGTAAATGACAGGTGCGGTCTGTTGAAAAATTATGTGCTTCTTCTTTCTGTTGAAAACAGAAAACCATCAGGAAAAAGTTTTTAGATTTGGTCTATCAAAGATGAGTTTGCTATCACAGAGTGTCCTGTTCTTATTTACAGTCTATAAAGACGAATTACCTTTATTGGTCATCATAGGTCAACAGACACGATTTGCATTTAACTCTTCAACACACCAACATGCCAGAACCAAACACAGGTAGGATGTAATCCAGTGTTCCAGGCCTGGTACTGTGTACTTATCCCTGTTCCAACACCGCTGCATTGACACTTCTCCCCAGTGGTTTATTGACCTCCCAGCTGCTGTGACGCCCACACTGAGACCCACTGTCCCCGGGAGTCTGTGCCCACAACACAGGCTGCTTTCAGAACCTTCACCCTGATCTGAATGTCAATGATTGTCACATGACTTTGTCAATACCACTAGAACTGCTGCCATCATCATCATCATCATCAACAGCAGTAACCCCTGCTATCCTATCAACCGGGCTCACAGGCGTGGATCCAACCTCCTCATCACCACCGCTGCTGCTGCTGCTACTGCTTCACATATGGATCAACCTGAAGAACCAGATCAGGCTCTGCCACATTC